ATAAATCTTTAATATATCTTAGGCTTTTTCATATGGGTATCTATAGTTTTTTTCTTCTTTAAACAACTTTATAGATTTAATTTTATGAGTGGGCTTAGCATTTATTTAACCAGACCTTGTTGTTGGACTTCTAGGTTTTCATTTTATTGATATTCTAAATAATGCTTCAGGGGCGCCTGGGTGGCTCAGTTGGTTAAGCAACTGCCTTCTGCTCAAGTTATGATTTCTGGAGTCGCAGGATCGAGTCCCGTGTCAGGCTCCCTGCTTGGCGGGGAGTCTCCTCCCTCTGACCCTCTCGCCTCTCATGCTTTCTCTTTCTCTCTCATTCTCTCTCTCTCAAATAAATAAATAAAATCTTTAAAAAAAAATAAAGCTTCATTGAACATCCTTATGTTCTATATTCATAGAACAAATTCATTCCTAGCACTGGAATTTCTGGTTTGGTGGCTGAGTATTTCAAATTTTGGTAGAAGTCATTAAATTGCCTTCCATCTACCTATGCTATTATTGACATCAGATTTTACCTAATCGTTTAGTTTTTGCCAAGATGCTTAATGAAAAATAGTATTTCATTGTTTTGATTAGTGTTCCTTTATTATGAATGAGGTTGACACTTTTTTTTTTTGAAGATTTTATTTATTAGAGCGTGCGCACATGGGCGCATGAGCAGAGGGGAGGGGCAGAGGGGGAGAGAGAGAAGCAGGCTCCCTCCTGGGAGCCTGATGTGGGACGGACCTGACTGGACCGGGACCGGGACCCGGACCCTGGGATCAGGGCCTGAGCCCAAGGCAGATGACCAACCGACTGAGCCACCCAGGTGCCCAACACTTTCATATATTTACTGACACATTTGTATTTCTTCTGCTTGCTTTTGGGTTGTCTTTTTCTTACTAGTTAGAAATTCTTTGGAAGTTTAAGGAAATTTTTCCTGTCATATGTCACAGCTTATAGTTTTTCTGATTTTGAATATAGTAGTTTTATATCAGAAATTTACATTTTTATGTAGTCAAATTTATCATAATTTTTTAAAATGGAGTCTGAATTTTGTATCTTGCTTGTCTCCATTCCAAGATCATAAATCTTTTTTACCCATGTTTTTTTCCAGTGCTTTTATGGCTTCTCCCTTCCACGTCTCTTCTCCCTTCTTCCCCCCGCCCCCCTTTTCTTTGGTTTAAATTTTTTATCTACCTGGGATTTATTTTATTTTTTATGTTTTTGGAATTTATTTTCATGTAAGGGATCCAGCTAGCCAAAGACTTCCTTAATTATTTTCCACTGAGTTCAATCATAAACCAAATTTCCATAATATAATTGGATCTTTTTCTGGGTTCTTTTTTCTATTCTGTTGATCTGGCCGAGTGAAGGAGCTCTGGGGATTATTGTCAAGGCTGTATCACTTACTAGCTCTGTGACCTTGGGCAAGTTACTTTTCTATCCAAGCTTTAGTTTCTGTAAATTGGGACAATAATATTTAACTTGGACTGTGATGAGCAAATGAGAGAATCAAGATGCTTACTTAACAAAGTACCTGACACATAGCAGTGAAATGCTTGGTAAATGTTAAATATTAACACTAGTGGGGCTAATATGTCTTCATTTGCCTTCTTTTGCGGAGGGAATCTAATTCTTTTATTAGTGTATGTTTTTTTTTTCCAGATGAATTTTGGTGTCCTGTTATGTTGAAAGATGATTTTATCATTGACTTTAACAGATTAATTTAGGGAGACTGTCTCTGTAAGTCTGAGCCTTTTTATCCAAAGGAAAGATAGTCCCATTTAGTGAAGTCTTACGTCTCTTAGAGACTTTTTTTAAAGACTTTTTTTTTTTTAAATGAAGTTCTTACAAACATCTTCCTTTTATTATCAGGTTCTTTGTTTATATTATGGATAGGAATTTTTTTCCCATTACGTATACTTCTAAATGTTAATGTTTTTACATAGGCATCTTAATGGATTTGCCTTTTCTTAAAAAATGAAATTTTTCGCTTGCTTCTTTTGGATGTCCCAGATACACATCATTTACAAGTAATGATTATTTTGCCTTCCCATTTCAGTATTCATATTCTGTATTTCTTTCATTTGCCTAATTAACGTTAGTTAAGGTTGCCCCCAGAGTATTATCATATGGTGGTATTAGAGCACATCCTCCGCACGACCATGTTTTCAAATTTAGATTTAGGGTAGCTTTCCCATCCCTTTATAGAGACCTGAGAACACCAGTTAGTGCAAGTCTTCTTTTTATAGCTGAGGTGGTAGACCCAGAAAAAAGTGACTTGTCCATTCAAGGTCACACAAGGATTGAATGTTAGAGCCCAGGGTAAGCTCCGGGTCTCGACCCAGTGAGCAATGCTCTTCGACTATCAGACTGTCAGGCTGGTACAGAGCTCCCCTTAGCATCTCTGCCAGGTGCATGCTGGCTGCAATATCCAGGTGGCCTCTGGAAATCACCCAGACAAATTCTAAACCTTTTTTTTTTTCTTTGTTTCGAGGTAACTTCTGCTCTATTAAAGTAACATGACCAGACTAAAGAAAATACTGGTAGTAATATATTTCATCAGATGCTTGATCTAGAAAATGTCAACATGAGAAGCACATTTCAGGTGGTTCGTAAAGACTTAGCATGTTGGCAAGCTTAGATAAAATTTTCTAGTCTCATTCCCCTGGGCTTTGTACATTTGGTGTGCTTGGTCTGTCCTGAGAGCAGGACCGGGGTTGTGTTCCGGCCTCCAGCAGAGGTACTGTGCCACGGACGTGCATACCAAAACAAGAAAGATGATCCCTGCCCTCGATAAGCTTGTCATCTAGCTAGATGCCCCTATCTAAAATCTGATTTTCTATTTCTCATCAGATTTTAACTTTAATTTCCCAAACAGAAGTTCACGATGTTACCTTTTGACTCTGGCTTGGGCCATTTTCTGAAAACATTTCAGAAAACATTATCATTTGAGTTGTTGCTTGTCATTTTTGTATGTAGTGCCAGGGAGATGAGGACAAAGAATGCGCATAACTGATTAGAAAGGACAAATCCATTAAGGAATGGTGTCCCCCTTTTAAAAAAAAATGTTCTGCTCGTACCCTACTTTGAAACTTGGGAATAGTATCCCCTTTTTTAAGAAAATGTTCTGCTCATACCCTACTTCAAATCTTGTGAGTTTGCTAGGTACATACTAGTCTTGAAAAGTTTCAGAGCCCAGGTGCCAGGCTTCTAACCCCCTCTCCACGCTTAACCAGCAAAACTCCGTTCCTGCTTCAGTGTCTGTGTGGAACATGGTGTCCTACTTCAGTGTGAGGTCAAAGCTAACGGAATGGATGGTGACACAGAAGGGCTGGCATAATTTTAATGTGGTCGGTTAAGCTGGACTGCCCTCTGCATGGAGCCTGGCTGATGTTAATACTAGTATTAGGATAATTTTGGGGGATTTCAAAAAAATAGAAGTAGTGCAGAATAAAGGGCCGGCATGATGCTAACTGAAGGTAAAAACAGGCCAATGTGGTGGTGACTGAAGACAGGAGACCACTCAAAACCACTAAGTTAAGCCACCCAAGGCATATCTGGTGGTGGAGAGACCTGGCCACTTTATTGTTTGGGGTGAGGTGTGGTTAGAGTGAGTCATGCCGGAAAAGGACCATGAGTAAGCTGGCCGTTTCTCTTACAGGGTGCTTAGCATCCTGGGACTTGAGGCCAGGGGGACTGACGGAAGGCTAGTGTCATATTCTGGGGGAGCACTGACACGAAAAACTCTTGAATGCTGATGGAGGCAGCAACTTGTCTTTTAAAGACCTGTAGGAAAGGCCAGGTCCATACCTTCTGTCAGAAGCTCTTCCACATTTATTCTCCCTCTCTCTGTTGTGTTTGTGTTAGCACTTTGCCCCTTCCACCTGATAGCTATCTGTTAAAAATACCACCTTCCTGAACAAAAGGAAAACCCGGAAACTGCACTCTTTGTGCTGGAAGGACACCCCTGGGCGGGTTTTGCTGATGACCACTGCCACCGAGATCCAAGGGCAGCTGAGAAGGGCTACACTGCTCAAGAAACTGACATGGAAGTCTAGACAATAAGAGCATATGGTGGCTCCAGATTGCTGGTTCCATAAGTTTAATGTGCTTGGAATTAACCTCACAGAAATGGGATCTGTGAGGTCTGGGGTGGAACTTAGTTCGTGGTTCTGATCTGGGCAGCTCTGGGATCCCACTTTGAGACGCTCAGCTCGGGATAGATCATGTGCTCAAAGAGGCACACTTAGTCCTGCAAGCTTACGTGCCCACACCATCTAATGCCAGAAAGAAGCAGCACTCTTGCCTGGATTTCTTTTCCCTGCTCAGCTGGCTGGATGTGAAGGACCCAGAACTGAGGTCCACTTCCCTGCAGAGCACTGGGCACTGGTGGCACAAGGCTTGAGGCCATCCAAGGCCTGCCCCTCAATTTCGGGATCTTTTCTGGGAACCCCCATTCCACCTGGGGTCTCACCATGTGAGAAGAGCAGTGGAAGCTCACAGAACATCTCTCACGATTCATTTCACAACTCCTGTGTTTTTCCTCTACGAGACGGTGAGCCTAGAACTAGGGAAATCTGGACAATCCACGGACCAAATTCTGAAACCATCATTTGTTGGTATTTGGTTTATAAGGGTCAAACCTTGCCCCGTGTTTTTCGCCCATGCGATTGTTTGCTATAGTCTTGCTTAAGCAAGTACCACGGGGCCACCCAAAAGTCAAAGCAGCTTGTTTAGAGTAATGCCTAGGATGGCTGGTAATGCTTTTAAAAGACTGAACCCTTTTTAAGTTGGCTACATTTCAGATTAGCACTCTTGAGTTCAGCCCTCAGATCCATCATAAATAATTATTCTTTTTTTTAATATAAATAATTATTCTTGACTACAGAATAGAGCATTGCTAATAATACCCATCTGTGAACCACAATATGAATTTTATGTTGATTGGAGGTTGCATTTTGGCCTGCTTGCCGCTAAATGCCAAAATTGCTTCAGAGACTACTATTCGTCTCTCCTCCAGACAATAGCAAATGTGTTCAACTTCTCCAAGAGTCCCCTTGGGGCTCTGGATATGCAGGAGAACTGGGTGAACTCTGCAGCAGGTCCCATTCCAGAGACTTGCTGGAACAAGAAGGTCTTCCCAACTCCAAGCTGGAGTCGGTTAACTTGAACATTAGGACGACAGTATAGTTCTCATTACTCGTAATGGAAGGTCACCTGGGCATGTTAACCCCTTATTTGTTTTCTAGCCTATATATTTACCTTCTCGTTGACCTCCACTCTGCACATGAGTCATGGGGGAGGGGAAGGGGGGGAACTCTGAAACAAAGATGGTGCCCGGACCCTCCCAACCAATTAAATCTGGATCTGGGGGTGGGCCCTTGCATAGGTATCTTTCCAAGCTCCTGGGCCTGAAGAGCACTGCTCTAGCGTGAGCTTTGCTCCCTAGGAAATGCATCTTCTCTGTGGCCCCACCAGGTACTCTTTAAGGTCCATCTCCAACATTTATACCCCAGAGCAGATAAATTCCGAAAGGGAGAATTGATAAGAGAAAGAGAAGAGAGACACAAGGGGAGGGCTTGAACTCCTTGAAGTTACAAGTTACGCCTTTGACCATCCAGTTCTTGCCGTAGGCCCGGGGTGGGGGTGGGGGTGGGGGGGGGGCATGGACGGACCGTGGAGCCCTGGGGGAAAAGGCTGCCCCCGAAGGCCCAGAGGTTGGATTTGGTCACTTCTGGGCTGCCTGCAGTGTGGGTGCACATAGCGGTTTTTAAAATGTGACTACCAATCCCTAAAAGGCAGGTTTCACATGAAAGCATTCTCAGAGTTGATGGTGCTTGACAGAAGACTCGGTGCTAAATCATATGACACACTTGTGAGTGTGGGTTCATCAAATTTCCTTTAGTCAGGTGCTCAGCTCATGAGAGTTAAGACTCCAGTGAAACATGATCGTGTTTCCCCTTCTGACTGGGGGTTCACCATTTGAGAAAAAATATTCCCATCGTTACTTTGTATCAGTGCCTTCTCCTTCCATAAGACCCCCGAGGCTGGGCTATAATGACTGGCTTGAAAGAGAGAGCAATCCTGGGATGAGTTTGGATTTTGCTGTGGAACCTAGGGCTATCTCTTAACTGCACTGGTTCTGAGTGTCCTCATCTATGGGGGAACAAGAGCAAATAATTTCTAAGGTTCCACTTCCGGCTTCTTGGGATTCCAGTAGCACAAGATTAGAATGGAGACCACTTGGTTTAAGAGCAGTCTGTGTGTAAAGGTGAAGAAACTCAAGTCAGGGTGTCAGGTGAGCACTGAAATGTTAGCCTGGAGAAATCTAGGAGGCCAGAGAAGGAAGGGCTGGAACTAAGGGCTAGACGCTTCAACCATCCAAACAGTGAAGATGGACCTGGTGGTCTTGCGAGGGAGGAAGTGCTCCATCACCGCAGATGTCCATCCCAGACCAGGCAGCCATTTGGCGGGGATGGTGTAGGGAGCGAAGGGTGGACAAGCCCCTTCTCAACATTTAGAGATAATGCGAAAACAGGAGGGGCCCCGCAACTACCTCCTTTCCTTCAGAGAAAAGAGGTTGGTTCCCCAGGACATGCCCTTCCCCCAGAATGGGATGACAGCACCTTGGTTGTTTTCAATCCCTGTATTTTTTTTTTTTTTTAATTTTTAAAAAATTTACGACAGTAAAGGTCGTACTATGTGACAAGGGGACAGATGCCTTTGATGCATCCCCCTTTCATTTCTACCTCAAAACAAGATTAAGGCATAAATTACTCGCTGGGCACCGGGCGTGCCTGTTGTCCTCAAGGCGCCGTCACTGGTGGTACCACTTGTCCCGTGGGCCAGCGGATCAGATATTTGCCACCGAGGTTGCACAGACTCCGGTGTCCCTACACCGGCTTTACCCAGTGCCTTCCAGAGAGGACCCCTCAGCAGCGCCGGCTGAGCCCTTCTCTCGTGCACGGTGGGCGGAAGGGAGGGATGGGAGGCTGTGTGTGTGTGTGTGCGTGTGTGTGCATGTGTGTGCGCGCCCTCGCGCGCGCGCAGGGCGGTGGGTGACGCAGGGAGGGGAGGCTCCGCCCCGCTCCCCCGGGAAGACCAAGTGGGGACGCGGGACGCAGGGAGTGCGTGTGCGCGCGCTCCCGCTGGGCACTAGGAACAAAACCGGCTGGCGGGGTGCGCGGGGGTGCGCGGGGGGTGGAGGGCCCGCCTGCCTCCCCATCTCGGGGGTGGGCGCCCCATGTTCTGCGTCCCAGCTGCCCGTCCATCACAGTCTCCGCGTCCCAGGGTCCTTCTTCATCCCTAGCCAGCACCTGTCACCATGGAGCCCTTGGGCCCTGGTTCATTCAGGGGCAGCCCCGGGGACCTATCCTGTCCGAGGAAGGGACGAGCGGGACTCGGAGCTTTGAGCAGTGCGGGGGGTGGGAGGACAGCACAGAATGCAGATCTGCTGCCCCCCCACCCCCCCAGGGTCCTTCTGGGACTCGAGGCCTGGAGTGTGCTGAGTGGGTTTGCAGGGCAGTCTTCCTCTCCCTGTTTCTTCTGAGGATGGGACGGGATGGCTGGAATTCCTAGCACCTTAGTGGCCGGGGCAGCAAATGCCCCCACAGAGCCTGGGGGAGGCTTTGGGGTGCCGTGGGAGGGGTCCCTCTAAATCACCAGGGCTCTGTGTTGGAGGTGTCTGGGCCTCCCACTAGAGCAATCCCTCTTAACACTGGCTTGAGTTCCTTTCAGAGGGTGCAGCCTTGGTCTCTCAGGAGATGAGGTCAAGTGCAAAGCGAGCTGGCGGTCTTCACCCCTACTCAGTGGGCCCTGGGCCTGGGCCTGCACACTGCCTGGACTGGCGTCCTGGCCCCCATCGACTTGCAGCCTCCTCTGAGCCTCATTCCAGCACTTTGGGGGTGGGGTCCAGGCCAGGCTCCCTCCTGCGCTTGGCACTTTTAAAGAAGCCGAGCTGTGGGCGGCAAAGGGAGAAGTCTCAGCGGTGGGCAGGGCGGACAAGGCCTGTCTCCCCTCCCTGCTTCCCCTTCACTGACCCTCCTAAGGCTTCTTCCCGAATACCCCAGCTAACACGGACCCAGCTAACACCCCCAACCCCCAGCCCAGCAGGACTCCCTTGGTGGGCTGCACAGTGGGCCACTTAATTGGTGAGGTGGGGGGGCTGCAATGGAGTGGATGGAGCCTGGGTCAGGAGGCAAGAAGTCGTGCTGTGTGACCCTGTCCCGGTCAACACCCCTCTCTGGGCCTCCCTCCCCTCATCTATAATAGGAGGAGGTTGAGACCAGGGGCTCTCCACCTGAGGCTCAAAGATGGAGAAGGCTTTGGGGGGCTTGCTGGCAGCCTGACACTGTTCGAGAAATTTTGTGGCTCTGTGTGCTCGCTTCTTTTTCTAATAAGAGGAGACCTAGCTTTCATCAGGTTCCTAAAGGGACCCTCAGAAGGGTCAGAGCCACAGGTTGCGGGTCCTCTGGTGGCCCTAGCCAAGCTGTCCCCTTGTGGTGAGAGACGGATGTTTCGGTAGGAGGCAAGTTCTAGCGAGGAGGCTGGGTGGGCACCAGCTCCCATGGGGAGAACGTGGGGACTGGCCCCAGAGGCTAGAGCCCCTGGCCTGGGCCAACCTGCCAGGACGCTGCTCCCCACCACCTGCCTGCTGGGGCCTCACCTTCCATAGTGCCAGGACCAGCAGGGCCAGCAGCAGGAGGCCCCCCAGCGTGCTGCCCACAATGATCCAGATCGGGATCTGCCAGTCTTCTTGCTTGGAGATCTCAAATGTGATCTGCAAGGGGAGGAGGGCGCCAGGTCAGCAGCATTACTGTTCCGGGGCCCCGGGGGCAGCCAGGCGTCAGGGGATAGCTTACGCCTGGTGGCATCTGCTGGAGGGATGGGTGGCACCCGGCCTGCAGAGGCCCCAGAGCCCCCAGCCCTTGCACAACAGACACGGGACTTAAGGGACCCAGGTGATCCTGCCTCCTCTTTGAGACACTTTCCGCCTTTGGCCTCGGGTCACTCTCCACTCCCCCTGGATTCTCCTACCACGTGGGCTACTTTTTCTTATTTTCTCTCCTGCTTCATCACCTCCCAAACTTCTAAATTTTGGTGTGTCCCGTGGCTCTGTCCTTGGACTTCTGCTTTAACCGACAGTCACTTCCTGGTGAGCTTGGGGCCGTATTCCCTGGTAGGCACCATGGGCCCAGGCCCCTTCGTGCTTTTAGGGGCCCTTGAAAATGTTCTATAATTTCCTTTAAAATTAGAAGAAGAAAAAATATATAATCTTGCTTGGATTATGTTTGTCTTTATGTGGACACTGCCACAAAATAATAATTTAAATTAATTTTTTAAGGAGGAAGGGGCTCCGAAGGCAAAGGTGCTCAGGGCCATGGAGGGCTTAACGCAGCCCTGGACAAACTCCCTCCAACGCAGGGCTTTTCCATCTCCCCGCGGACTGCTGTCACCTGGCCTCTCCGCTAAATTCCAGACTCATATGCTACCGTCTCCTGGCCTGCTTGGTGTCTTTAACAGGTCCCCAAACAGACTCTTGATCCCACTCCTCACCCTCAAACCTCTTCCTTCACCGCCTTTCCCACGGAAGCAAATGGCCGCACTGTTCTTTCTTGCTGTTGCTCAGGCCGGAAACTTCGTAATCGGCACTGACTCCAGCAAAGTCTGGCCGTTCTACCTTGGAAGCACCGAGAATGTGGCCAGACGTCCCCCTCCAGGGCTACCTCCTTGGACGAGCACCCTCCTCTTGCCCTGGAGACCGTAAGAGACTGCCTCCCAGCCTCTGAGTCGCCCTCTGCAGTCTGTTCTCGGCATGGCAGCCGGAGGAAGGCAGATTTATTCTCTGCTCTGCTCCCAGCCTCCAGCTCAGAGTGGAAAATAAGAGTCGCTGTCCTGGCCCGCAAGGCCCTATACTCTCTGGCTCTGCTCACCTCGCTGGCCCCACTCCTCCTCTCCCCATCGCTCTCTCTCCTCCAGCCCTCCAGCTACCCGGCCTCCAATGTGCCAAGCACACGCACACTGCAGGGTCTTGTCCTTGCTGTCCCTTCTGCCGGCATGGCTCCCCCACCCTGCCCCAGATAGCCACATGACACCCCCGTTCTTCATGCTTTCTGTCTGATGTCAGTTTATCGGGGAGGCTCTTCCCAATCTCCTCGTATAAAATAGCACCCCCCACCCCCCAGTCTCCACCCTTTTGTGCCTGTTGTTTTTCTGGGCAGACCTCATCACCACTTGACACTGATATATTCCTGTGTCTTGCCATTCTTCCCATCTAGAATGTCAGCTTTGTGTTGGTCACTGTTCTGTCTTCAGGGGCTGGGACAGAGGAGGAGCTCAGACAACATGGCGGATGACTGAATGAGTGAGCCCCCCTGGCTTGGCCACCGACTCACTGTTCATTCAAATTGAAGCCAGTCAGGGCCCCCTCTCTGCCTTATTTCCCACAGCCTCAGTTTCCATATCTGAAAAATGGGGGGGAGCGTAACTCACAGTGCTTTGAGGAGTGAGCCAGAGCGCATGCCAAGTGTCTGTTACAGGGCCTGGCCAAGAGTCAGGGCTCAACAAACGGCCAGTGCCTTCTGTGTTCTCTTTCCACCCACGAAGGCTAGGACCTTCTCCGCCTCCCCACCCCTGACAGTAGCTCACAGCCAAGCCAACGGGGGCCTTAGATCCTGGGTTGCGGGATTTCTAAAAGAGAAGTGAGGCATCCAGAGAGCATCAGAGGGATTTTCTTGGGGGGAGGTGGGAGTGGAAGGAGAAGGAGAATTCACTTAGAAGACATGAACTAGTGTAGAGAGAGGGGTCGTGTGTGTGTGTGTGGGGGGGTGGGGGTGCCCATACAACGCCTCTTCTCTCTCGGTTGCCTGCAGAATTCCAACATATCTCTTCAGATTCGGTTCAAGTGGACTGTCTCCAGAAAACTTTCCCTGGACATCCCTCCCTCTGACTGCCCCCCAGGCCCAGCACCTGTGCTCACCCCCAGATCGTAGCCATGCTGTTATCCTCATCCCCTTGTCTGCTTAAATCATCTCTGTACACCCTGGGGGCCCGAGTCATGGGAGGAACACCCACCAAATGTTGGATGAATGAACAAAGAAAACTGCTCCTTAGGTGGGTCCCCTGTACCTGCTTCCCTTCTGCCTGGCAGCCCCCCACCCGGTTTACTAGTGGTATGTGTGCATTTGATTGAGGTCTGCCTTCCTGTCCATGCCGAGTTTGCTCTCCAGCATCTCCACGGTGGGGCTGGGGGTTCACTTGGCCTCTGGTACAGGAGCCGCTCTCAAGGAACGCAGGCCACGGCCAGTGTGGGGATGTGGCCAGTGGAGGGCAGCAGTGTCCCATGTCCCAAGCCCCTCTCCCAAAGACTGGGCTTTTCTTCAAGACCCAACTTCTCATTTTCTCAGGAGAGCACTGCACGAAGCCTCACCCCCTTCCTGTGCCCTGATTCCAGCCGGTCTGGTCTGCGACAATCCGGTTTTACCCAATTCAAAATGAGTCCCAATACAGAGACGTCTTGCATCCCTTGTTCTTCATGAATTCAGTTCACCCCAGACTCCTAAAGCACAGCGTGTGCATTTCCTTAGATTCGAGGTGAGAATGGCTGGGGAGGAGAGCGGTGGATGGTCATCCTGCCTCACTGCTGGTGGAACCCATCAGTGAGTCTCCCCCCCCACCCCCACCCCCGGGCAGGCAGGCCTGAGCTCCAGTTCTTTCCTCTAGTGCAAACTATGCCAGTTCCCCTCCTTCCTCTGCTTCCACGGGGCTGCTGTGGTACAGAGCCTGGCGCCCCCGAGGCCCTGGGCGAATGCCTACTTCTAGCCCCCTCCCTGTTTGGCCCCTCCCAGCCTATTTGTCTTGCTTCTCTCCTCTCCTCTGCTGCTGCACTAACTGCAGATCGGTCCTTCTCTCTCCCGCAGGAACACGTGGAGAAAACTCCAGGGAAAGGGGCAGCCCCTCCCCTAGCTGCTCTGGCTCGAGCTGAGGCCTGCAGGATTCCCAGGGGCTCACCTGGCGGCTGGGATCCTCCTCGCGGAAGATGAAGGGACTGTGGAACTGTCTTTGCAAGGCTGCATTGATCGTGATCTTCATCAACTTGTACTTGAGCTGTATAATCAGAGGCCTTGTCAGAAGCTGACCCCTCCCCTGCTGGGACACCCCCCAGCACCCACCACCTTCCCTTGTTTCCTTGGAGTCTCGCTCAAGTGCTCTACTTACTGCTTTTAGGGACCTCAACCACAGGTTCCCCAGCAGATGGAAATTGATCTCCTGGTTGGGGGCCAGCCTCACGTTGCAGTTGATGGAGACTACGTCAGAATTGCTATGATTCTGAAAGAGGAGGTGGGTCTCGGGGTGAGCGACCGGGTTCTGGGGGAGCAAGGGAGGCAGCTGGCCCAGCCATGACCCAAGAATGTGAGCAGGGACTTGGGCCACCAGAGAGATGGCTGAGCCCAAGTTTTGCTCCTGGCGGGGGGGAAAGGGCAGAGGACGGGGACAAGGAGCTGGCTTAAGGGCAGAGGACAGGGACAAGGAGAGGTGGGGGGCCACCAGAGAGATGGCTGAGCCCAAGTTTTGCTCCTGGCGGGGGGGAAAGGGCAGAGGACGAGCATAGCCAATGCTCGTCGAGGTTGTGTGTAATCGCGTGTATTCCAGGAGCAGAACTTTGGTTCGACATTAGGGAGCCTATAAATGTCATCACCACACAAACAGATTAAAGGAAACAATTGTATGATTACTGTAACAGATGCAGAGAAAGCATTTTAGGAAATCCAACTTCGGGTTATGGTAAAAACTCCCAAGGAACTTCCTGAATCTGAATAAAGGGTGTTTATAAAAAACCTATGGCAAGCATCATATTTAATAAAGAAAAATTAAAAACAATTTTTAAAAAATCAGGTTCAAGACAAAACTGTCATCATTTCTATTTCCCACTGCCCTGGAGGTCCTAGCCAGAGCCAGAAGATGAGAAAAGCAGTTTATAAGGATCGAATGGTAAAACTAACACTGTTATTATTTACAGATGATACTATCTCAACAGGAAACCCAAAGAAATCATCAAAGAATCAGAATTTATTAGATTAAACTTGTTTGTGTCTCTCTCTTGCAGCCATGTCAACCCCCCCACCCCCCCAGGCCCAGTCTTCAGGAAAGTACACTACGCTCAAAAAAGGCTTTGTCTGAGGCGCTCGTTTGGGGAAATAAAACCCAAACAGCTAAGATGTTTGCTTGGGGAAGAACAGTGAAAGCATGCTCAGAAACTGCTCTCTGGGGGGCAGTGGCAGCCCTGGGAACATAAAGCTGGAAACTAGCAGGTGTCTTGGGGAGGGCCTTGGGAGGTGACCTGAGCTGCCCTCCATCTCCGGGGCCAGGCAGGACCCAGCTGGGATGGGCTCAATGTCTCCAAGACAAGCCAGGTAGGTCCTGGCCTTCATAGCCTTGCTCGGTCTGGGCTTCCCCTTCCCTTTGCTCTTCTGTACCCTGCTGGCCAGTCCACGATCCCTGTTCCTTTACTGGAGGTTGTCTGATCTGCTGTCACTCTCTTGACACCTGTCACAGCCTCGTCCCCTGGCTCCTCTGGCATCCACTCTTATGTGCCCTGCGAGATGGGGAGCTCATTATGAGCAAGATGTATCTTTTCTTCATTCTGTTTCCTCTCGGTTTGAAGCTCTGGTATGGTGGCCAAGCCCCGGGTAAGGGGACACTCACCAGCTGTGGGGCATGGGTCAGGTCTTCCTCCGTCGGGGCGTGTCGGTACTCGGTGCTGTTTCCCCAGATGTTACAGGACGTGTTCACCTGCACAAGGGCCACATGCAACCAGCCTCACAACCAGCCCTGGCACGCTCAGCATCCCGGAGGTGCTCTCCTCTCCTCCTCTTTCCCGAGAAGGCCCTGCTGGCCCGGGGCCGGGGAGGAGGAGCTGAGGTCTGAGGACTTGGGGACCCCCTCAGGGTAGGTCTGTCTCCTATGGGCCCCCTCCCTTGAGGAGGCTCCCGAGGGCACAGTACCTGGTTAGTAAGGAAGTCCCTCAGCATCAGCAGGCGGTTGCCCGCCCTGGTGGCGATGGGGACGGTGATCTTCATCATTACTCCGTGGATAGGGAACAAGCCCAAGTTTTGGATCTGTGGCCAGAGAGGGGAGGAGTCAGGACGTCCAGCAGCAGCTGGGGGGGTAGGGGGTGAAGGATGAGGTCCAAGGGGGCGATCCCCCCAGCCAGGTTGGGAAGCAGGCCCCTCCAAGCCCCCTGGCATATTTGCTCTGCCAAGTCACGGCGGGAGCTGTGCCGACAAAGGTGCGTGAAAGCCCCGAAGCAGCCGGGCTCCTGGAGGCTGAGGACAAGCCGGTGGGGCCATGAGGCTGGAGAGCAAGGGCGCTTCCATTCTCAGCCTCTCTTGGCTGTGGGGATTCTGTAGCCTGGTGCTGGTGGTCACCCTGGGCCACAGTCGGGGCGGAGATGGTGAGAGCAATGCATTTATTGTGAGAGCGAATCATTGATTAACGAGGGCTCTAACTGGTGAGCCAATGATGTGCACGTTCTAGCCGTGCCGTACCCCGTGTCCGAGCAGTGGTGATTCCAGGCAGGGATCTGGACTCAGAGAGGCCGGTACACGGCCCAGGGCTGCGACCATGTCCCAGCTGTGTGGCCTCGGGCAGTCGCGAAACCCCTCCTGGACCAGCCACCCAGGTACCAGCGTGTCTGATGCGCCGTTTCCGGCGTCAGCCTGCCCCGAGCTCTCACGCAGAGTTCAGGGGTTGGGGGGGGGGGTGGTGGCGCGGGGCCCACTGGGCAGACTGCTCAACTGCCCCCTCATTTCCCTTCTTGCTCCTTCCTCACACGGGGACAGAGACGAATGCCACATGTCCCAGCCTCCCTAGGTAACTGGCAGTGTGAGGAACTGCCAAGGCGTTTCTTTAGTAGGGAGGGGCTTGCTCTTCTCCCTTTCCTCCTTCCTGGGATGAGAGTGTGATGGCTGGAGCTGCAACTGTCTTGGACTATGAGGTGAACCTGAGAGGCTGACAGTGGCATGTCGAGGATGGTGGAGCAGACCCAAGACCCAATCCTCAATGATTTTGTGGAAGCTGCCAACCCTGAAAGAAGTCTGGGGACTTCTTTCATGGAGAGAATAAACTCTGGTCCATTTAGACTACTGTTTTTTATATTTTTTAAATTATATGCAGCCACACCTAACCTTCACCGATAACATCCTCCCAGTCCAGCCCCATTCTTTTCTTTTCTTTTAAGATTTATTTATTTTTATTTGAGTTGGGGGAGAGGAGCAGAGGGAGAGAGAGGATCTCAGGCAGACTCCCCGCTGACCTTGGAGCCTGATGCAGGGCTCGATCTCATGACCCCAAGATTATGACCTGAGCGTAAACCAAGAGTCAGATGCTTAAGCGACTGAGCCCCCCATTATTTTCTAGATGAGGACTGAGAGGCTCAGAGAGGGCAAGGAACTTGCTTAAAATCACAGTGACTGGGTAGCAAGGGCTGAGGCTGAACCCCAGGCACTTGCAATGATTCTAGACTCCTCCCCTCCCAACCGGGGGATCCTCAGCTCTTGTCCTTCACTCTCTGCCTGGCTCTCTGCCAGTCTTACCTTGAAGACGCAGCTGAAGGGAGGCCCAATGCCGTCGTACCTCTCCAGTGAGCTGTTGGCCTTGACCTCGTAGTGGCTCAGGCTACTGCTCCTGCAGGGACAGAGGACAGGGCTGTCGTGAGCTCAGGTAGTGTGGGCTAGTTGGATACGTGCACGAAAGAGGGCGTGGGCATGTGGCTGGCTCCCCTGGACCACAGAAAAGAGGTTTCCTCTCGTGTCCATGGGGAGTGGGAGGGCTGTGTCAGGAAGGATTCAGAGCCCCAGCAGGAACGTGCGCTGAGATGGCTCAGCAGCATCTGCGTCCTGTGGGGGATGGCCACGGGCCAGAAGAGCCGGTCGTTGGCCATCCCTGGCCTCTGGGGCCATCCCTGGCCTCTCTGCCCAGGGGCACGGCCTCTTTGGAACACGAAGGCGCCCACTCTGGCCTGTTCCAGCCTCAGGCGGTGGCCACGGCAGGGCCTGCGTCTGCTTTCTCTGTGGTTGCTAGTCCGACTTTTCCATCTGCCTAGAGGCTCCCAGAGGACAGGGGTGGCCGGTGGGAGCACTTTGCCCTGCGGGGAGGAGCATTTTCGCACGTTTGCTGTGGAGGGTTGCTGGTGCAAGGTGGTAACAAAAAGCAGACGGACTTTTAGTAGGCTTTAAGACTATTTTAAAATCTCTCAGACCATGCCCCCTCTTAAAGCCTGCCCTGGGGGTGGACACGTCCCGCGGCCCCGGCCCTCCCCCGCCCCCCACGGGAGCTGCCAGGAGGCCAGCTCTGTGTCTCCTCCTACCCCCTGTGCAGCAGGGCTGAGGGGGCTGCACTCTCTGAGCCCTCAGGGACACCCCCGGCTCCGTCTCATAGTCCCTCGGCACTGCAGCCCAGCCCTGGAGACCTCTGATCCTATGACGGCCCCCCCAAGGGTGCCCCGTCTTAGGTCTCACTTCTCTCAGGCCTCCCCCAGCCTGCCCCCCGCCCCCCCCCCCCCGCCGCCCACCTGGTGAAGAGGACGTCAGCCTCATATTTGAGGTGGAAGCGCAGGAGGGCCGTGTTGTCTTCCTTGGTGCTCTCGTCCTCGTCGCTGTCACTGTAGGGAGAGCCACGTGGGGCGGTCGGGGTGGGGAGCCGGCACACTGCATGGGCTCAGCGCAGCCCCTTCAGATGGGCAAAGCAGGGATGAGTGCCCCCCCTCCCAACTTACAGGTGAGAAAAGGAAGGCTCAGAAAGGCTGCATGAACTTCCCAAGGACACACAGCAACTGGGAGCGGGACACTGGTTTGTTCTCTTTCTTGGTGTTCTTTCTGAGGACTTCTCTCCCCTTGGGCATTTTTCCATTTTAAAAGACCTTCCTTCCCTTACCCTCGGAGGATAACCCCCGCCTTGCCTATCTTCAGGGGCTGCTGTGAGGCCTGACGATTATACGTAGGGTGCTTAATAACTGAAGGCTTTAAAAATAGCTGCCACAGAAATCGCTCTATAGAGGTCAGGGTATTATTATTTCTATCCGAGCTGCCCGAGAGTACAGAAGGCAGCAGGTGGGCACCCCCGTGGTCCGGCCCAGCAGGGACGGCCTGGGGGCGATCCCAGGGGCACAGGGAGGAGCTGTGGCTAGCAGGGGGGAGCAGCAAGCAGAGCCCAGCGGGGGCACAAGGAGCAGGCGATGCCCAGACCTGCCAGCCGTGAGCCGGATCTCCAGGTGGTGCAGGAAGACGGATTTGCTGAACTCAAAATCTAGCCGGAAAGCCACCTGCGAGGAAGAGGTCCAGTCACTGGAGCTGGGGCGACTGGGAACTGTGGGGTCTGGGCATGGCCAGCCCGCCCCTCCCTGCCCCTGCCCTGGTTCCCCGGGGGGCGGGGGGAGGGTAGCTGCTGACTGGGAGCTGCCCAGGGCCGGGGTGGGGGGCCGTGAGGGCTGCTAACTGGGGTGCTGGAGTGCTGTGAGCTGAGCTCGGGACCTGGGGGTGCAACCATAGACAACAGCTCCTCAGATGGGGTTTCTTGGCTCTGGGGCCAGCCGTCCTCCCCCTGGACTTCTTTTTTTGTTTTCAACTATAGGCAATTAGCAGGCAGCAGGTCCAGCTCCAGGATCCTGCAGGAATTCCTGAGTGGGGAACTTGATGGCGGGAAGGGGAGGTGACCATCACCATGAGCCACAGGATGCGGGGCCAGAAGCCAGTGGGAAGCCTGCCTCAGCGGCCCCTTCTTCCCGTGTGCGGTGGGGTGAGGCCAGCAGAAGGGTGAAGCCTGCCTCGGGCCACCCAGCAGGTTAATAAGGCACCTGCCTCCTGGTCCAGTGGTCCTCCCACCACTCTGATAGCCCAGTCCTGATCTTCCCTTGGCCTTGGCCCAGGACTCCGGCCTGGGTCCCCTGACTGTGGTGGCCCTGTGACCTCTGACCCTCCTTGCCACCTCCCACCCCACTCTGGGGGCGTTACAGGGACTTTGCACAGACCCCGTGCTCTTCGCAGGTCTGGCTCTCTTGGGGTTTCCCAAGGAGACCTTGGGGCCCCATTCTTGACTTTTGTCCCAGTGGGGAGGTTCTTTGGCAAGGATACTCCCCTCTCCCCCCAGCCTTGCAGACCCTGGTCCTGGGAACATGCTGTCACTCTACCTGGCTCTTGCCTCAAGTTCCCTCTGTCTGATTCCTGCTCTACAGGCAGCCTGGTCTCAGTCGGGTCTTTTCTTGCTCCAGAACCTTCAGTGGCCGCCCACTGCCCCGTGGTGATGGGCTAGTGCTACCTGATCTGGAGTCTGGAATTTGGAGATTCTCCTTCCTGGAGAATTTGCTTCTCCCCTCACACACCCTACCCACTTTCCACTTGCCCTTTCAAGCACATGGTAAGTGCTCACGAGATGTTAATTTTTCTCCCAATCTCTCCGCATGCATGCCGCAGGATGACAGAGGCCGGACTTCGAAAAAGTGTATTAGGATAAAGGACAGCAGGGATAATTGCCCATGAGGTGGTGGGAGAGTGGGGGGGTGGGAGTGGCAGGGCTCCCTCTGAGGTGAAGGGGCCTGGATGCTCCCTTGGGGTGGGCTGGCTAGTTAGGTCATTTGAAGTCATTTCCCGGGGGGAAAAACATACTTAAAAGCCATGCTCAGGCATCTCCAACCTCCCCCACTTCTCCCCTCTGTTCATTTCCATTTCCCTTGCCTCCCCAGTGCCTCCCAGTACCCGCCCCAGTCCTGCCCCCACACTGCCCCCAGCCTCAACCTTGGCCTTGGCCCGGAAGAAGGGGTAGCTGACATTGCAGACTTTCTTGTGGAGTCTCCTCTCCTCGTTCACGCACTCGATGCTGCCTTCTGAGTCGTCCTGGGGGTGGGTGGGGGGCACCGCGGGTGGCAGTTAGGAGGGCCAGAGACCCAGGTCTGGGGGTCACCCCTGCCGCCCCCGCCGCCTACATAGAAGCTGTAACACAGGTCCTTGGAAGGAAGCTGGGACCCCGGGGGCCCCGGAGACAGGGGTGGCGGTGGCTTTGAGGGGGAACTGTCACCAGGCTCCTGGGCCTCTCTGAGCTGCGGCCCTGCTGGGCCAGCACGGGGGTCCGCTCCGCACGGGGCCTGAAGGGGGACTCCCGCACGGCGCTCTAGCTCGAGGCTGCTGGCTGGCTGTGTATCTTTGTGTGCATCTTTGAGCATGCATATGCACGTGTGGCTGGAACAGCATGTCCGCGTAGACTCCGCATGCGTGGGTCTGCATGTAGGCCCACGTGTGCGCATGCGTCCGGTGGCGTGTGTGAGGAACACGTGCGTGTCCTTGGGTGTATAGGTAGGTCTGTATACTTTTGCATGTGTGTGTACAAAGTGCACGTGATCAGACTAACACCTTTGTATCTGTCTGGGTGGTGGGGGTTGGGGGGCAGCCTGGGGAGAGGAGTGCTGGTCTCCCAGCTGTGAGCAGCTCCTGGGCTGGGGCTGGTGGGGCGGAGCCAGGTTGCGGGTTATCCCCACACACCACCTGTCGTGTGTGTGGACGCAGCCCCTTATGGAACACACTGACCACCTCTCTTTGCCTCTCTCAGTTCCCAAAGCCTTTCTATGTCATAGACACAAAATCCCACGATGCCTGCCCCCTGAATAGTCACGGCACTGTACGGTCTGGGCCAGGGAAGAAGTGAAAGGGGAATGCAGGTTTGGGGCTCAGTTTCCCCTAAATACCCCAATTCAGACAGATGCAAAAGTCTCTGGGCAGGACAGGACTTGGAAGGAGGACCATCACATGGGCTCCTCATCTTCACTCTGGATTGTGGGGGGGCTTGGCGGTGGGGTCTAGTCCTGGGCCTGATGGAGGGACTGCCTGGCAGAGGTTCTGGGGGGTGGTGAGGACAGAAGGGTCCCGTGCCTGCCCCACCCCACACTCTGGGCTCCATACTGATGCTCTGAGATCACTGAGGGTGGAGACTGTGTCTGAGGGGAGCTGGGACCCCACCCCCCCAGCACCCACACAGGACAGCGATGTCCTGGGTTAAGTCGATAATCCTGTCTCAGGACTTCTCTGTGCTCATGCCCTTCGGAGTTCAGGGCCACCACAGGCCAGCACTCAGGCACTGTGGATTTCCTCGGAGTTGTGTGGGGCTGGAGGAGCCTGTGTGGCCTTCTGGGAAACTGCTCTGCTGCTTATTAGCTGTGTGGTCCTGGTCAGGCCCCTTAACACCCCTCTGTGCCTCACTCTCCCCCTCTGTAAGATGGTAATCAAGAAGAAACAGGAGCCTGTCGGGCAGAGGAGGGAGGGAGTCCAGGTTGGGAACCACGGTGGGGAGGGCCTCGGCATGAAGGGAGGGGTGCCGGGAAACAGCAGTGGCTGGTGGGACTAAGGGTGTGGGGGTGAAGGTAGAGGAGGCAGGTGATGGATGGGGAAGCTGGACGGGACTTGACATAACAAAGAGTCTGGAATTTGTTGTGAAAGCAACTGGGCATGATAGGAAATGTTAAAGTGGGGAATAACCTGTTCTGGTTCTTGTGAGAAGGGCCCTTTTGAGAAAGCCCAAAGGATGAACTGTGGGCAGATGGGGTGTATGAGCTGGTGTGCACCCATGTGGGGTGTGTGTGTGTGTGTGTGTGCGCACGCGCCCCTAACGAGGGCCAAGGACACAGGCTGAAGGACCTTCCTCTCCACATTCGGGAAGGGCTCAGACCCCCCTTTACCGGTGGTTCTCCCCCCGCACCCCCCGCCCCGGCCACACACTGACTTCACCGGGGTCGCTTTAAAAGCACGCTGATGCAGGCCGGCCCCAGACCAGATCCGGTGGAATCTCTGGGAGAAGCCTGGCCACGGGGATTTGTAAGCTCCCGGTGGTTGTAATGTGCAGCCAGCCAGGCCTCTCGGCTGGACCCCTCCATTCCTGCCTCCGCTCTTAGCTTCGGGCAGGCTGGGCCGGGGGCTGAGGTCTCACCTTCTGGATCAAGCTGGCAAACTGCAGGTTTGTCGACTGCGAGATATTTAGGACTGTGCTATAGGCGTTCTCGCCTCTGTTCTCCAGCACGGCCTCCACTGGGACCCGCCGGCGTGTGCTCTCGATGATGAAAACCGTGGTGTCGAAGGACAGCGTGTAGACAGAGCAATCCTGCACGGTCTTGCCCAGCACCCTCTGGCAGTACTCCCTGCAGGACAGAGGCCACCAGGGGCCAGGCGCATGGAATGGGGAGCTCGGGGCCAGGCCTCTCTCCTCTACTCAATGTATTTCCCTTTTGGCTTTGGCTACCAGGAATCTCAGAGCTAGATATAGAGACTATCTTGATGAGTAGCCTAGATGGCTAGACGGTTTGCTTCTTCATCCTTCTACAGGGTTTGTATGTGTTATTTCTACTTAATGTATATGTCTTCTAGCTCAATCATATCATAGCTGGGTAAAGGTAGAGGACGGATTATTTGAAAATAAATGACATACATTTCAAAGAGGACATTTTTCATGATTTTTCCTTGTATGCTACTTTTTTTTTTTTTTCCTCTTCCAGGAGATCGTGGGCACCCTGCTCATCCTCTGCTAGTCTCCTTAGCTCAAGCAGTCTGTCACTGGGCCACACAGTTGTTGGGGGCTTGGAGGATGAGCAACCAGGATCACAGGTCCTAGTCTCCACCTTTCATCTGTTTGGTAGTAAAGACTCCAGAGAAAGGATTTCTTTTCCTACACGAAGTTTGAGGAGATTGGATAGATGAGTACTTTTCATTTTGCCGAGTAAGTCACTGAGGCCCAGAGAGCGAAAGGACGTGCCTGAAGTCACACAGGAATTAGACGCAGAGCCCGGGCTAGACTCAGGCTCCAAGTTCAGTATTTGATCCATGGTGCCTCCAAGCACGATATGCAAGCAGACATCCAGTGCCCAGGGAGCCTTGGATCTACTAGCAGGGAAGGAAAGGAGGCAGGGCAGTGGGGGTGGGGGGGTGGGCAGGGAGGAGCCAACTCACATGGCTGTGGGCAGATCACTGCGGGCATCCAGCAGGAGGTCAGGGACACAATGCTCGTCCTCATTGCAGCCATTCCAGAAGGGCACCTGCACCAGGGAAAGCAGGGAGGGGTGGCTGGTTGGTTCTCTTTGCTGCTGCCCAGCCCTCACCCCCACAGCATGCAGGCTCCTCTCTCCACCACACTGGACATGGGCTTTGTCTCATCCGCCCTCCTCACAGACACCACCCTGCCGTTTCTCGTGCTTTTGCATACATACTCCCTTCTTTAAAACATGGCTCAAAACTCAACTCCCCCTGGGTGTCTTCCAGTTCTCAGCCGAGCCGGTAGCACAGAATACCCACCCCCGCCCAGCAGGTTTTTACGGATCACCTGTGTTGGGGGCAAGGTCTTAGGTACTGGCAGTACCGGATGAGGAAGACACAGCTCCTGGGAAGAGTGGTGTGTGAATAAATAATTATAGCGTGAAATGTGCAAGAAAAAATATTAGAAATCTGTGTGATGAATAGGAGAGGCAGAGGGGAGGAAACAGTTATTTTGGCCTGTACATGGTCAGAAAAGCCTTCAGGGAAGAGAGAGTATGTGAGAGTTCTGAAGAATGACCACGTTAGCTGGGTAACCAGAGGGGCGGGAAAGTCGAGGGGAAGGACGAGTCTGTGGAAAGGTCCTGAGGCATGAAGCAGCATGGCGAATCTGGGAAATGCTGTGTGGTTTAGCGTTGCTGCATTTTGGGGTGGAGAGATGGGTGGGGTCCGTTCTTATAGGGTCTTGGGGTCGCTCCTTGCAGCTGACAGGAATCACTAACCACTGTAGGCAGGTGAGTATCCTGCCAGACCTGCATACTGAAGGCTCCCTCTAGCTGCTGTGGATGGATGGACTGGAGGGATGAAGGCTAGAGTCAGGGAGACCACTGAGGAGGCTGCTTCAGTGTTCAAGCAAGAGATGATAATGGTGTTGGAGGGGTACTGGGTGTGGAGGGGAGACAACAGGTTGTGGAGGGGAGACAACAGGTTAGGCCTCCAGAGGGGCGGTCCATAGGACCTGGAGTTCATCAGCACTAAGGGGCCGAAGGGCCCAGGATATTGGACGAGGTCCTTTGTTAGTGTCTGGAAGGAGGGCTGCACCATTCGTTTATAAACAGAGGGGTGAAGTTGAGTTCGGTTCTGTGGTCCTGTGGTCCTTCCGGGTCAAGTGCTCAGCAAGCAGGTGGGTGTTCAGGTCTGAGGGCTGAGGAGTACAGCTGTCCCTCCTGAGGATACAGCCGAAACCCAGGGGAAGGGAAACGGAGCCCACCCCGATCGGAAATTCATGGACTTTTCTCAACGGTGAGCTCCTCAGCTTCACTCAGACCCACACGCCGCCCCCAGCTTCCCCATCGCGCGGTGGATTTGCAGCTAGGAGCAGGCACGCGGCAGAAAGGGCAGCAGAACCATACAAAGTAGGGCGGAGTGAGGCCATCCGCCAAGGGACAGGTGGAAAACACTGGTAGCCCGCAGGGGCCTCACTGTACCCTTGCACCCAGGTTCACCTCGGTGACTTCGAGTCTCCGATGAGATCCCCCTTTGTAAGCTTCCTGCTTATAAAGGGTGCAAACTGTCCTCTAACCTTCAGAAACATCTCCATCCAGTTGATTAGAAGGAATAATTAATGTGATAAGCACTGCTGCACTCAGTGATGTGGAACAGCTCATTCCCCTGGGAGGCGAGATACCGCAACGCTAGAGAAGCACTGGGGGCCGAGCGGATGCTAAATAAGAATTTGCAGAAGAGCGCTGGGCGGAATGTTTCTCATTCGCTAGAAACTGGCGGGGCGGGGCGGGGGGGGAGGCTAGAAATCCAGATTAACAAGATTTTTGGGAAATTTAGCTGCTACCTGAAGCCCTCGATAATAGCGCCCAGATTATTCTTCCTTTTTAATTTTTTTCTCTTTACACGTTCCCTTCAGCCTGCCTTTTTCACTGCCGTCCCTTGGTTATACCGTCAGCTCTCCTGGAGTGGAAGGCCACTCTTCCCACTCTTCCCATCCCCGCAGATCTGAATCTGGTCTATTCCTTAGGGCCCGGCTGAAAGCTTCTCTCTCCAGGAAGTCTTCCTGGCCTGTCATCTGGTTGCTCAGTGACACCTCCTCTGAGCTCACTCCCCTCTTGGCCCTGGCCTCCAGCCCTAACTGGCAGCCTGCACGGGGGTCGTCAGTGTGGGGCGGAGCGAGCCCTGTGCATCGATCTGCACCATGGGCTTCGACTCGCTCGGGGATCTCAGGGCAGGTTCTCATTCGTTCGCCCTAGCGGCTCTGTAATTACTGCGGTGGGGGACGGTAGTGACTCCGTGCACCAGCTCACTGACGTCTCCAGCTCTGCAGTCCGCCCCCCACCCCCTTCTCGAACTGTGTAAGACAGCCTCTCTTATATGCTGGTGACGAGGAATCAGGAGAAAGGACGGCAGGTGTGGGGGTCCAGGGCTGGGGGGTGGGGTCTGGGAGGGCGGGGAGGGGGGGGCGAATGGGAGCAGAGACGGGATTTCAGAAGCCTTGCTGCTCCTCAAAGTTCAGGAATTAGGTATTAATTTCACGAATTTCGCCTGCCCTCCCAGCACAGGTCAGGCAGAACTAAACTGCGGCCTTTTCTGTGGGTGGGATGTCTGCGGAGTAGCAGGTGGGAGGAGCATGTGAGTGTTCCATACCAGAAAGTTCGGATGCCCCGAGAGCCAGGGAATAGGACCTGCGGTTGAGGGGGCCCTACCCCAGCTGCAGAGCAGGCTCTAGGTGGTTGACTCCCGTGCTCTGGCCCCCAGTGCCCTCACCTGTACATGAAGGAGGCGGGCGATAGAGACCTAAGGTCCCTTCTGGTTCTGTGATTCTCCAGAACCGTCCAGTGCTCACCCTATGCTGGTGATACGGGGATCCTCGAACAGGAAAAGCCCCGTCCTTCCCCTCAACTTGTTCACAAGTTGACAGCGGTAGGAGAAGATCTCCTTTGTACCCAGGGCGCTCTGGATCTGGGCTTCGGGGAGGAGGTGGGGATCGGAAGGACGGAGTGCCCAGGTTGTGTGCCCTGTACATGGGGATGTACCGAGACTCGCAGGGTGGTGGGCCAGCCGTCGTCCAGCACCGGGCCGTGGTCGGGATCCTCCAGGGAGTACTCCACCCAAAAGGTCACTGGTTTCACGTAGTCAGCAGTGTCCTGTGTGGGAGGAGATGAGGACGGGGTGAGAGGGCATGGAGCACCCGTTTCTGGGCCAGGACACGGAGAGAAAATGTCCAGTTCCCCCAGGCGGGAGGGCAGCCTCCCCGCCGGCCTCAGGATGAGGCCAGGAGAGAGGAACGTGCTGGGTGGCTGGAGGTTCAGCAAGTCCCCACTCAGCCTTCAAGGCTGGGCACCCATTCCCCGGCGCCTCGGCCTCCGCGGAGCCAGACAGCACCCACCACCCCGTGTGCACAGCCCACTTCTCAAGTGGCATTCGGAATATCTCCGTGTGCCTGTCTCCGTCCTTCAGAAGCTCCTGGCCCAGCCCCAGCACTGTGACAGGGTTCACGAGCGTGCTGAATCAATGGATGAACAAATGCGTGAGCAAAAGGGGTTGTTCCAGTGGTCCAGGTGTGGAGGGTAAAGAAGGGGATGCTTAGAGATGCCTACAAAATCTCCTGCGTGGAACCTAAATCCTGACGTGATTGGCTTCTTTGTATCAAGGCAGTGTCTCTCAAGCTTGAGCTTGCATCAGAATCCTCAGGGGGGTTCCAGCAACACAATGAGGGCTGAGCCCACCCCCAGAATTGCTGATTTAGTGGGTCTGGCGTGGGGCTTGAAAACATGCATTTCTGGGGCACCTGGGTGGTTCAGTCGGTTGGGCGTCTGCCTTTGGCTCAGGTCATGATCCCGGGGTCCTGGGATCGAGCCCCGTGTGGGGCTCTCTGCTCAGCGGGAAGCCTGCTTCTCCCTCTGCCTCTGCCCCTGCCCCTCCCCCCCACTTGTGTGTGTGCGCTCTTTCTTTCTCTCTCAAATGAATAAAATCTTAAAAAAAAAATAAAAAGAAAACACGCATTTCTAACAAGTTCCCATGTGATGGGGCTGTTGCTGTTGGTTCGGGGGACCACACTTTGAGAACCAGTACACAAACACATTGGAGGGGGCCACATATTAACAGACACATGGACTTCCCACACTTACTCATTTTTCTGCCTTTTGGCCTTTGAACTACAGGGGGCAGGTGGTGGGCTCTGAGTGACCCTGCTTGTGTCTCCAAGGCCAGAGCTGTGGCCTGGGTATTTGGAGTTTCTGGATGGGGCAAAATTCTCATCCTCTTCCTTATCCGTAAAACCAGGCCCCAGGTCCCTGCTGGTTCTCCACCTCCTCCAGGCTGGCCACCCTCCGTTCCTCCTCCCGGCTCACCCCCACCAAGGGTCGGTCTTACCTGGTCCTCAGCATTAGCCAATGCCTGCTTCCATCCCCTCTAGCCACGGCATGTGCCGGCTGACCCCTGTTCGCTCTGTGAGACCTCACCGAGCCCACCTCCCTCCTCAGATTTCACCCCCTGCTATAGGAACAGTGAGCATCTGAGCGCTGGGAAAGACGGGATTTCGGAGAGGGTACCACGAGGTGGTAGATAGTGTGTCTCAGTAGCCTTTTCTCTGGGGCATGAGTATGGGGCGGCCAAGGTCCAGGACACTGCACCCTGGCGGGGCCTCCCGAGGTGTGCTGGGGGCTCGAAACCAGCCTGGTACCCGCTGAGCACCTCCTCCAGCTCTGTGTCCCCTTTCTGTGTGACTTGCTCCCTGGTGGTGGGGCTGCTGGGTGTCAGGCTCACCAGGACATGGAAGTTGATCCGCTCACAGTGTTCCTGGCCAGAGGAGAGCAGGACGGCTCTGTTGGTATATCGGTCCCCGCCCTCATCCAGGTGGGCCCGCGGGGCGTAGCGCCTCTCATCCATGGTAGCATTGTACCTGATGCCTGGAGGAGGGAGAGGGCAAAACCAGGAAGGTGGAGCCACAGGTCCACCCAAGACTCTTTGCCTGTCTTCTAAGAGAGCCTACTGAAAGCCAGCCTCCTCCAGGGAGTCCTCCACCCTGGCCAAGGAAGAGCTGCTCTTCTCCCCTCATGAGGCCTAGTGTGGGTGGGAAACTCCCATGCAGAGATCGAGTGAGAAAGGAGAAAAAGAAGGAACCAAAGAGAAGAGAGGCAGAAGGAGGAGGAGTGAAGAGGGGGCTGACAGAGAAGGGAAAGAGAAAGAGGAAGAAATGCAGGAGAAATGAATGGGTGAGGGGCCAGGGCGTTGCCCTCATTTGAGCCCCCGCTGGAGTCCTGGACCTCCCCAGCTCTCCCTTCCTTCACCTTCCTGGGCTTGCCCTTGCCTTTGGGATCCTGTCAGGCCTGGCTCAGAGCCCCCACAGGCCGCAGTTCCCACCCATGAGCCCCTCCCACTGGCTCCTTGAACCTAAGACTCCATTCTGGGGTTTAAAGCCTGCAGCCTCCTTCCCTTTTGCTACATCCAGGAAAGGCTTCGTCTCTTCGCCTAGACCCCAGCCAGCCCTCTGGGTGCACCAGGTTCTTGCACCTTTCTCTTTTTCCAGATAGAAGGTGAAAAAGACTGCAGCCACCCAGGCTGGCTTTTCTCTCACCCCCACCCGCACCCCCACCCTTCTGGTGGGCCCTGCTCCTTGGCTAAGAAGCTTTCGGAAATCCCAATTTCCTGCCCTGGGCCCAGTCCCATCCCAGAACCTGCAGCCGTCACTTTGTGTGGCCTCGTGGGCCCAGGGCTGCTGCCTGGGCTGGAAGTGATGATCCTCAGAAGGACCCGCCCTGCCGCAGCCACGTGCCCACTCTGAGCCATGAGCGCTGAGACTGGGCACTGCGTCTGTCTGACCCCCCTGTTTCCTGCTCCCTCTCCTGGCTCTGCCTCTTCTTCTGCATCCAGGCTGCTCCAGTTTGCTCCACTGCTCCCAGTTCCCTGTTTCGACCCAAACTTTGCACCCCAACTACTTCCTTCTTCCCCTGGCCTCTCCCTTGTTGCTCATGGCTGCTCACTGCCACCCTCACCCTGGCATGATGTCCCCTTTTGGCTCCTTGGAATTAGATCGGCAAGTGCAGTCATCAATGTGGCTCAAGGTGCGACCTGGCCCTTAAAACCCATTTCAGCAGAAGCCCAGGTTTTGAAGCTGAGCAATCCCAAAGTCCACAAGGGAGATCGGGGCTGGGGGCTGGGAGGGGGCTGTAGGGGAGGGGCCTGGTTTACCGACTGTGTCCGTTTCGAAATGGGGTGCCAGGAAGACGGCCGTGAAGCAGAGGAAGGCGGCCAGGCAGGTGGCATCCCTGCCGCTGCGTTTGCAGTCTCTATGGAAGATGTTGATCTTGGACGGCTCAAAGTGGAGGCTGGCATTGATCTGAACCACCGGACGGGACCTGGAGCGGAGGAACGGGTAGCTGGGGGGTGGGGTGCTCTGCTACCCCTGGGACCCGGAGGGCGGGAGGGGGAGAAGGGGGGTCGCAGATGGAAATGGAATCTGCAAACCTTTGGGGGAGGGCAGAGAGGGGTCCCAGATGTTAAAGTTTGGGCAGAAAAGTGACAGGTGGGTGGAGGGCAGGCACCTAGCCCCGGAGGCAGCCCTTCATCATGTCCTAGATGCTGTACTCGTTGCAGACCACACTGACTTCCTTGTGTCTCCCCATTCCATCCCTGGACATTAATTACAATAATAGCGAGAGTTTTAAGAAATCCTGATGCCCAGTTTGCCCTCCAGGTCAAATCAAATCAGAATTGGCATCAACATGTCTGAGGCCGTGCTTCTCAAATTTTAACGTCTGCATGTCTCTGGGGCCGTGGGGGGGATCTTTAAAATGCAGATCCTGACGCTATAGGTGGGCACAGATTCTGCATTTCCAGTAAGTCCTCAGTGACGCTGTTGCTGTTGGTCCAGGACCAAACTTTGAAAAGCAAGGTGTTAAAGCTCCCAGGGGATTGCAATGTGCAGCCAAAGTGGAGAACCACCCCCTGTTGTAGAGATTCCCCACCTATCGACCCGACACTACCCTATGGTTCTCAAACTGGGCTGCCCATTGGAGACAAATACCTGGGGAGTCTAAAGCTTACTGCTGCCTGGGCCCCTTCCCTAGAAATTCTGCTTTAAGTGGTCAGGGTAAAGCCTGGGCTATGAGCCTTCGCAAACCTCCCCAGTTTGGGACAACATGGATGGACCTAGAGGGTATGATGCTAAGTGAAATAAATCAGACAGAGAAAGCCGAATACTGTATGATTTCACTTAATATGTGAAAAGTCTAAAAATCTAAAAAAACCCTAAAAAATCTAAAAAAACAAAACAAACGAATAAACAAACAAAAAGCAGAATCAGACCTATGAACACAGAGAACAAACCGAAGGTTCCCAGAGGGGACAGGGTGGGGGGATGGGTAAAGTGGGTGGCAGGGAGTGGGTGGTACAGACTTCCAGCTGTGGAATGTCTAATTTATGGGGGTGGAAGGCGCCGCATAAGGAATATGGTCACTGATACTGTAATAGCGTAGAGTGACGGATGGTAGCGACATTGGCGGTGAGCACAGCATATCGTATAAACTTGTTGAATCACCGTGTTCTCCACCTGACACTAATGGAACATGCGTATCACCTATACTCAAACAGAAAGAAAGAAAAAAAAAGGAGGCAAGCTCCCCAGATGATCCTAATGGGGCAGTCTGAGATCCATGGGGTTTGAGCGCAGAGTCTTCCCAGAAGGTTCTGGCCCACAATTTCATCACCACTAAGGTAGCACTTAGGTTGAGACCTCAGAAGCTAGATCTCCAACCACTCCTCTGCGTCAGACTGATTCTCTTGGAGGGGCAGAGGCGTGCGTCTCTTGTTTCCAGTAAAGGACTCAGTTTCTGTGTCACCCTACCGATCGTCTAGGCCATGTCTACCTCCTACCCTGGGCCCTGGACAGCCGTCTTGCTTCCTGGCTGTTGGAACCAACACTGGGAATACCTTTACCACCCCAACTGCTCTTGCTGCCCCCGCCACCCCCAAAGATCCACGAACCCCCACATGCGGAGCAGACCTTCAGAGAGAGGCTGTGGTACTGGTATATGGCCCAGTGCTGCCTTTAGAGGGCCAGGGGACGCCACGGGGGACACAGGGACCCCCCCAGACACACTGCTGTCCCTCCTCCCCTACAGTGCTCTGTTGCAAGATGCAGAGGTGTGTCCCGCCTTGCTGGAGATCCCGTGAGGGAGCAGCGGTTCTGACGGTGAGGCCCCGGCCGGCTCAGGGATGCCCCCCACTCACACTGCTCCTCTTTTCTGCTCCAGTGTCCTTGCCCCCCACTTCTGCCTCAGGGACGAGGCTCCTCCTGAAGCGTTACGCGTGAGCGCTAGTCTCGGGCTCTGATTTCTAGGGAACCCGGGCTAAGACATCTCCCAGCCGGGCTGTGATGTTTTTGATAACTGAGAGCATATCCACTCCTTCACTCTCCCCGTGAAGTCCTGGGATACCTCGGTTTCATGCCTCTTAAAGGTAGTATGAAAAATATGACTGTGCTTATATAAACTTATATGCAGGTGGGAAAAGATTGGTAGGAAGAAAAGCCCAAATTGTAAGAGCGCTAATGTTAAGCTGATGAAACCCTGAATGATTTTTTCTTTATCATGTTTCTTTAAGTTATTGGATTTATAATGAAAAATAGCTCACCAACGTAAATGAAAAGGTAAACAGGTTTTTTTTTTGGCTCGAAAAGTAGCCAACACATCCCATGGTAAAATACAGGGACTTTTAGAAAGCTCTCTTTCTCTCTCTCTCTCTTTTTTTTTAAGCTGTAGACTTTAATTGCTAAAAAAAGCCCCCCCATGCGGATGTATGGCAAGTATCTGATGGGATGGTGCAGAGATGAGGCCCTGGAAAAGGAAATGAGGAGTCCGGAGGGGTTTGGAGGAAAGAGATCTCTGTATGGCAGAAACATTCTGGGGAGAAGGGAGATCCGTCCAGCCGATAAGAATATCCTCAGCCTGTCCTTTGAGGAGCTTGAAAAGCTGAAGTGGAAGCCAGAAATTTTAGGCCATGTTCTAAGAGGGGTTTTTGGATACTCAATTGCTCTAAAATCTTAGAACTCTGTTGGGAAGAGGGATTTGGACTCCAAAACAATTTACAGTGATTCCTCAGAAAGGAAATGTGTCATCACGAGAGGATAAGAACAGGGTGAGTTGGGTTGACAATGATTAAAGAAAGGGACAAATGTCCTAAAGCATATCTTTAAAACCCGGTGTCCATCATGGCCCTCAGAAGACCCCGAGAGCGAAGAGAAGCAGGAGAACCAACCACAAAATCACAGCGTTGCCCAGGGCGCCCACCGCCAGGTCGACCAGCCCATCCTCGTTGAGGTCCAGTTGCCCGTGGATGCTGCAGCCAAAATACTGGAGGCCAGGAGCCAGGTCGGAGGCGGCGATTCTCTGCAGGAAGTGGGAAGAGAAAGCTGGGTTTCGGCACTGTTGGCACAGGGCAGAGCGATCCTCAGGGAAGCTACGATGGGGAGCACTGGAGAGAGCCCATTTGGAACCATCAGGAAGCTTCCCCAGCCCAAAACTATCCCCTCTCCTGGTCTGTGATGGCACCCACCATCCAGTCATCCTTTCAGATTAAGATATTGTGTCTTAAAAGGGTTCCCCATTAAGGGTAAGTCCCTGTTGCTTGGCAGATACCACCCCACCCCCCGTCCCTGGCATCTCTGACCATGGTGTATTAGACCACCTTACTAAGAAAATACGTAGGCAAAAATGATGACCCGAGGGCGTGGGACCTGAGACGGGTCCCTCTTGAGGGGAGCTGGGTTTTTAGCATGCGGCATTTCTAGGGAAGAGCAAGTCCACGTGGAAATTCTCCACTCCCAGTCAACCTCATGCATGCGTGTGCGGGGGGGGGGGGGGGGCGGGGAGAGTGAGGTTGGGGTCCCTGAGGTTTCGTTTTTGCGGGGGAGACAAAGTTAAGCAGGGAGAGGGTGCCCACAGGGGTGATGGGAACACTGTCCCTAAGACAAAAGCACCCATTTCGAAATCCCAACTTGGGGCAAGTAGAGCTAGGACAGATTGGAATCCTTCCCTGCAGGACACAGAAGAGACTCCCACACGGGATGCCCGAGCCCCAGCGACCAGGACGCCTGGGCCAGCTCCAGCCCTTCACTGGGGCGCCTTACCTGCTTCGGCGTCTTGAGGAGGCTGGCTTGGAAGCCGTGGAAGATGTAGATGGCTCCTCTGTGGTTGTCCTCCAGAGGGGCTCCCACCACCACGTCGTTGTAGGAATCTTGATTGAGGTCCCGAACCGAGGCGATGGAGGACCCGAATCGGGCGTTCTGGTAGTTGTGGGAATCCTTCAGCGTCCCATTATAAACAAACCGATTCTGCAACACCAGGGGTGGGACAAGGCTCAGGGGGACAAGGCAAGGGCTGGCAGCACCTTGTCTCCACCCCACTGTACCCCCGGAACCCCCTCTCTGGCTACCTAAGTCCAGCGACAGAGGAGGGTCCTGCTGTCCCCAGCCTGGCTCAGCAGGAGGGCGCTGGCCTCTCTGGGGTGGCCCCGTTTCCCTCACGGACACCCGAGTGAAGGCGGGGGCGGGGTGCCCCCCGCCGCAGTGGTACCTGTCTCAGGTTGTAGACGTACACTCGGCCCTGCTCTCGGCCCTCGCTGAAGTACATGGGGGCGCCCACAAGCAGGACATCAGTCACCCCGTCGCCGTCGATGTCCACTGAGGTGATCTCACTCCCATAATAGGAGCCTATCTGCAGCACACAGATGGGGGGGGCAGTGGGCTGGGCTGTGCGGGGAGCTGGGGACACCCTTCCACTACGAATCCGGCCCTCCCCTTCTCACCCCCCCGCCCCCACTCCCCTCCCCACCTCTCCCGTGGAGTGGGTGCTCGCCTGTTTTCACCGGGTCCCACCCTGCCCTCTTTTCTCCTTCTGTCATCCGCCCCTCCCCCCTTCTTTCTTTCCATTGGTTAATTGTCTTGATTGTCATTGGTTCTGTTTGTGAGTAACACAGTCTCATGGCAAAAATGAGCAATATCAGAAAAAGCTATGAAGAAGATAAAAGTCACCCATTGTCCCAACATCCAACTAGAACTCCCATGAACGTTTGAGTGTATTTTCGTCTAGTCTGTTTTGTCCAGGGTGTGTGGGGCTTGTTTGTGTGTGTGTGTATACCGTTTTACCCTTACAATCTGGGGTTGTAATATATATATGGCTTATATCTGATTTTTTAAAAATTATTTATTTATTTGACAGAGAGAGACACAGCGAGAGAGGGAACACAAGCAGGGGGAGTGGGAGAGGGAGAAGCAGGCTTCCTGCTGAGCAGGGAGCCCGATGCTGAGGGACTTGATCCCAGGACCCTGGGATCATGACCCGAGCTGAAGGCAGATGCTTAACGACTGAGCCACCCAGGCGCTCCTTATATCTGATTTTTAAATCAAACAATGGATCATGAGCAGTGTCTCCCTGATGTGTTATATTTTTTCTTACAATCTGATCATTAGTGGTTCTGTAATATTCCAAACCACGTATGGGCCACGTGTGTATAATCAATCCTCTAATGGGATATTTGACTTGTTTCAATGTCTAATATTACGAAAAACTCCAGGATTAGCACCTTAGAAGGGGAATTATGGTTTCTTTTCAGCATTTGAGCACCCACTGAACTCCTCTCCCCCTTCGGGTGCCGTGCCCCCCACTTCAGTGAGGGTGCCATCCACTTGTTCAGTCTGAAACCTGAGGGTCCTCCCTGGTCCCACTGCCACCTCTCCCACCTGCACACTCCCAGCAAGCCCTGCCTGATGTGCACCAAACTTGCCTTGACTCTGCCTACTTCCCTCCTCTGCTGCTTCTTCCCCAGGTGAGGCACCTGCCGAAACACCCCCTGCCTCACCCTCCAGTCCACCCCCACGGGCAGCCAGAGTGGCCTCTAGCAGCTGACCACACCACTCCCTTGCTCTTGGAGAGGGTGCGGGGCAAGTCCAAATTCTTTAGCGTGACCTGTTGGACGTGCCTCCCTCCCCAACTAGCCTCTGTGTCCCCCACCCCCACCCCTGGGCTCCACCACTTTCTCCGGACATTCCCAGTGATTTCTCCAAAAGCCCAGGCCCTGGCTGGGTTCCAGACTTCCCTCTGTACACACTTTTCTCTTGTCTGCACTCCTCTTCCCTTCTCCCTCCCTGATAATGTCTACCATCCTCAGGTCACTTCCTGTTAGACTCCCGCCCTGCCCTGCCCTGCCTGCAATGGGTACCCCTCCTTGATGTCCCCCCCAGCCCCATACCAGCACCTGTTGCCCCCATGGAGAGCGGGCACTGGGCCTGCTGTGTCCCCTCCAGGCCTGGGTACGATGATAATATAATAAATACAATAAATGTTTATTGGACCAGTGGGTCACTTGGGAAGGATGAAGGAGTCCTTTCCACAGACAAGCCCTGTGTGACACACTTCACAGCCTCAGTTGTGTGAGCCTCTTGCTACCTTAGGAGAGATCACTGTCCTCATTTTACGGGGAATGAACTGAAGCTCAGCGAATATGAGTCGCTTGCCCAAGGTCGGAAGGCTGGCCACAGCCAAACTGGGTTGAAACTCCAGTCTGACACCAGAGCCCATGACACTCCCTCGCCCGGTCGCCTCCTGGCTTAGGGTGTTTTCAGGAGAAATCTATCTGCAAGTATTAAAAGCTTTTAACTGAGGAGTGAGATAGAAACACAGAAGAGAGGAAGATGGAAATCTCAACACAGGGGTGGGCGAGGGAAGAGCTATCCCTGCGTAAGGGAATTAGGAGGCAGACAGAGAGCAAGTAAGGGAGGCAGGATGGAGACTTTTGTCTAAATATGTGGCCTCAGCTATGTGGGTCACGGTGATTTGGAATCCACTTAATTTAGCTGCCTTCAGCACTGCGGTTTCTCATTCGGATGTTGGAGGCGGAACCGGGCAGTAAAAATGTCATAAATTCATCAGCAAATTCCCTCTAGCTCTCAAGGTCTAGCCTTGGACTCCCAGAAGAACCGGCCCCGGGCAGAGTGTGGGCAAGGCGAGATGGAGGCCGGGGGACAGAGCAGGGCCCTGGTCTGCCAGTGTCCTTGAGACAGGAAGAGGAATGGTGGAATGATGGCTTCCTGCAGCTAGAGGGATTTAGGTTAGACCCCGTGAGGAGCTTGTCCTCAAGGTGACAGGCCAAGGGCAGTAAAAGGCGCAGGAGAAAGGGCTGTTCTCGGCTCTGCAGAGCTGAGGGTGAGCTGGGAATGATGGTAAGGGCCTGCCTAGGGCCCAGCTCAGGCCCAGGAGACCATGGATGCTGAGCTGTGCCAGGCGGGGTGCGTGCATGTGTATGTGTGTGTCTGCACGTGCTGGTTTTGAGGTTGTCAAGGGTCAGCAAGTAGCATAAAGCAGAGAGAGAGAGTCCTGGGTTCTAAACCTGATCCAGCCTCGAATCCACCATGTAACCTTGGAAAAGCTCTGTGGCTCCTCAGGACCACCCTCTTCCTCGGCTGTTGGAATGACTTGGGTCAGAACCCCGTTTTCTGGGCTTCCCCCCACCAGTGACTCTTATCATAGCTTTGCAGCTGGTATTCATGACCACCGGACACGAGACTCTGAGTAGCACAGCGTGGTTCCCACGGCAGCCCGGGCGGGGCCGTGGGGTTGGCGGCGGTCGCATTCTGTACTGTTCCCATTCCAGGAACAGGAGAGAAGCTGGCAGCGTCCTGGAGAACCCAGGGGGCCTCGCTGTGGGTGGGTGTGCTGTGGGCAGTGTGAAGGTGGCTTGAGGAACATGCCTGTCCCTCAGGATGCCTAGGGGCCCCCTGCAGCCCGAGCTGCGAAGCCAGAGCCGAGCTGCTGCCTCTACCCCTGAACTCTGGATGCGAACACAGAGAAGCTGGCTGTCAGGCGCAGAGGTCAGGCACCAGAGACAAGAGGTCCATGAAACGGAGGCAAGCAAATTCTCCCAGGCTCGCCTTGCTGCAGAAAGGACCAGGGCCTGGCTTTCTGGGGAAGGGACAGTCCAGCTCCAAGGCTGGTAGGAAGGAGGTGTAAGCTCCCCCCGCCGCCCCCCAACTAGGGAGGATGTCTGGGGAGGAATTGCTGAGCTCCAGAGTCCTGGGCAGCCCAGCCCTTTCCATATACCCTCCCAGCGCGCCCCTGCCCCCAGATTTTCCTTTCATACCTGCTCACCCCGCAGGGCCTGGTGGATGGTGAGACTCCTGTTGTTGTGCATGGTGAACAGGATGGCTTTGCCCGTGTGGTTGAACCGGGGTGCTCCAGCCACGTACACCCACCCCTGCCTGGAGGACACGACCGATGTGACTGTGTACCCTGCCACAGGAGGAAACAGGCTGGTCTCTGCCCCAGGTCCTTGGCGGTGCCTGAGGGCCGGCCCCCTCAGGGAGTGCATTCAGGGCAGGCTGAGCAGATGTGAACCCTCAGGGTGGTAATTCCTAGGTACAAACTTGGGGGGCCTGGAAGAGGCAGGGTTCAGGACTAGGGGAGGTTTGGAGGGTGGGCAGAATTCATGCACCCCTCCTCCCCCTGCTGGAGGGCACCAAGGAAGCCAGGGGCGGGGGGTGGGGGGTGGCTACTAAAAGGTATTGCTGACGTGGAACGTGCATGTCCCCTCCTTCGCCAGAGTCCCGAGTGCACAGGGGAGCAGAGAGGAGGGAGATGGTGGACCCGAGCTGGGCTTCATTACATATTGGGCAGGCTTTGTTTGTGATCCCCACCAATTGTCTCTCTCAAGGACCAGCCAGTGTCATCCTCATTACTACAACCTGCTGCTAAGCGGTTCGTGGAAAGTTAGAGCATTGCCTGCCAGGCGTAAGGGGCTGCTCCACTGGGCATTGACATGGGGTCCCAGTGACATCTGCAGCCCCAGAACTTTGCAGACTCAGAGGAAGGAGCCCCGAGCCTCCTCTCAGTCCCACACACACGATACGCAAGTGAGGAGGAAATGGAAACCTTTGGAAAGGCCCCCACTCCTTGTCCTCGGGTTGGCTTTGCCTGATCGCTGTGACTCTTGATGCCCACACAGCACCCAGGAAGCGTGCAGAGCCTAGAGCCCCACTTGCCGCCAGACGGCCTCAGATACTGGACCCCCGTTTTTAGATGCCTTTGTTGGCAGTTCCTGGGCTGTTTCTGGCAAATGGTTGTCTCCTGCTGCCATGTGTGTGTGTGCATGTGTGTGCGTGTGTGTGTGGGGGGGGGGCGGTAACCGTGCTACCACGGTTCGGTTCCACTGGTTGCTTACACAGTGGCTGCAGGATGCATAGACGAGTTGATTCGGTGGCTGGGAGCATGGGTGCAGTGGGGTGAGCTGCTCTGGTTCCAGACACAACATTTTTGACTCTTAGAGGTATGTTCTGGGGAATGGGGCTTGAAAGGTCAGTGAAGCAGGATATTGCATAGGACTGTGTATTAACCCAACCATAAACATATGAGGGTAGGGTGGGATCAGCCTTACAGAGTGCGGCTGAGCTTGTTTGTTTGCTTGCTTGCTTGCTTTCGTTTTCTTTTTTTGGGGTGGGGGAGAGAGAATCTCCATGCTCAGCATGGAGCCCCACTCAGGACTTGATCTCCCAACTCTGAGATCATGACCTGAGCCGAAATCAAGAGCCGGACACTTAACCGACTGTGCCACCCAGGCGCCCCACCAAGCCTTCTTTTGAGTCCCCTGTTGCACTACTGAAAATGTTCTCAATTAGCCCCCCGGCTCAGGGCTTCCTCAGAAGGAGGGACAGTGGTGGGGGGAGGGGCGTGGGGGCCGAATGTCCTGGGAGCAGGCACCTCTCAAAGCAGCAAGCAGCATGGGAAACGTCCTGCTTCCCACAGTCTGCTGGCTGTGGCTTCAGTTTCCATGGGGTTCTTTGGCCAGCATGCAGGGCCATCCTGAAAGCTGGACCGACCTCCCAGAAGGCCTGACAAGATGACAGAGGAAGACCAGTGGCCAAAAGTCTGTACAGCTTCCTTGTGTGGAGGCAGAGAGCCTGGCCTCCGGTCTCCTTCCTCCAAAACCCCTCTCCTTTGGGGCACATAGGAAGGAATCTTCCAGAGATCCCAGACTCTCATGGATGAGCCCCAGAGGGAGGAGGAAGAGAGAAGGCATTCCTTCAGGACCCCCACCCAAGGCTGTGGCTGTGGGTAAGGCCAGATGGTGGGGCCTCACGAGGGATTTTCAGCCTGGCTCTACCCCACGAGGGTCTCCTGGGAGGAGGAAGACAGCTCTGCTGGGCCAGGAGAGAGGGGGGAGATTCATCCTGCTGCTCCCTCACTCAGACACCTTCACTATCTCCCTACTCCTAGCATGAACAAGCTCCAAGTCCTCACCTTGGCATTCGAGGCCTCCAGCCACAGCCTGCTCTAACCTGCCTTCCCCTTCCTGCTGCACCCCTCTGCCCCAGCCTCACCGCTCCACCTCCTGGCTCCTGAACCCACCTAGCACTTTCCACGCCTCCCTCCTTCTCTTGGACCGTTTTGGTTTATTCAGATTCTTCCTGCCTCAGAGCCCTGGTATAGGGCTCCAGCTCATGCACAGCAGGGGCCAGAGTGTGCTGGCCACTGGACCGAGACCACCCTCGGTGTCTGTCCCACTCACTTGGGCCCTGGGCGCTGATGCTATCTCCCTGATATTTAAGGCTTCACGGCAACTGCTCCACCACCCCTTACTTGGTGCCCCCGCTTTCGGCCCAGTGCTGAGCACATGGGAGGAGCACAAACCATCATGACTGATCTGTGTGAGGTGGGCGCTGGCCTTCTTTCTTCTGACATCTTTTCTAGTGTTTGGGCATTTGCCAAGGCGGGGGTTCCAATCTTTCCCTCCTTTTCTGTGCTTGCATCCACACTCTGGCCCCACTTGGGTCATAATTTTTATCTGTGCCCCTGTGTCGGCCCCACTGGCTGAGAAACGGCTGGAAGGCAGAGGCAGGGTCCCGCTTACCAGGGCACTCGGAGGGCACCGGCCACAGGGGGCGCTCTATGCAGTTTAGGTTTAATATCTGTGGGCCAGGTAGTGTTGGGGGACTTCTAGGGACCGACACCTCTGTATTGCCCAGGCAAGTCCTGATTCCAGCATTCTGTCCTGTGGTCAGCTCAGGGTCTCAGAACTGGGGATGGAAAATGGGGTGACCACCGCGTGGGCAGTGTCACAGGCAAGGGGAGTGGCTGAAGAGCTGAGGGACAAAGGCAGGGATGACATGGAGCATTAGGGAGAGGCTGGACATGTGGACAGATATGCCAACTCCGGGGGGCCCAGTCTCATGGAGGAGTGGGGTCCGAGGAGTCATTAATGATGGGTGACCTCAAAGATGGCCGACTTGGCTCAGAGACAATGGGACCCCCCTGGCCGTTCACCCGCTTCCGCCCTTCGCTCTGGCTTGGCCCTTTCAGAAGGGAATCCTCCCTGGCAGCCTTAGCGTGGAGGGCCAGGCTCATGGTTCTTACAGGACTGGAGGTGACTGGGTTCAGTGGCTTAGGGCCTCACACCTGGGACCTATCACCATCAGGCCAACAGTCTGTGGTTCTCTTTAATGTCTGCTTCTGGAATGCTTACTGGGAAGTGACTTCTGCCTTGACTGTGAACATTAATACTTGCACTCTGCCTTAGGAGGCAGCTCAGCGTGCTCAAACCCTAGTCAAGGCAGCAAGCTTTAATACCAATGGCTGACCTAGCGTCTAGAAGCATCAGCTGAATTTCAGGTACAGGTGCATTGCTTGTCACTTATTCTGCCTGGTTATCGAGAACCTACTGTGGGCCAGGCACGGTGCTGGGTGCAGTGGATGCCAGGGTGAAGAGGCAATGGCCCCTGTGCCTGGGTATTCACAGAATATTCACACACAGGCCCCTTGTCTCGTGTGGGGGCAGTTCCACTGGGGCCCTCCTGGCCGGCCGCCCAGCAGCCACGGTCCGCTCGGGCTCTTACCTAGATAGGCGCCATGGTTCTTGAGCTCCTCGGGGAACTCCTTCAGATACGACTCTCGGAGAGGAATGACCTTCCCGCCACTGGTCTCTTTCAGCACGGCTCCGTTCCAGTCGTAGGCACCAACGGCTCCCAGCAGAATCCCGTCCTGACATTGGGGAGGGGACACACATCAGCTCACATCCCCCGGGGGCCCCTTGCTGGGAAGCTGCATCTGGGTTCTGCACAATGAAACATGTGCCAGCCACCTCAGGCACCTTCTTCTGTGTTCATTATTTAACGGCTTCCAGCCAGGATTCTTGACTTCTGAATGAGCCAAGGACCTTCCACCCCGTCCTTAGCACAAAATGGGTCAAACAAAGGAATGCTCTAGAAATAAACTCCACCTCTAGGCCCCAGCCTCTGTGGGCTTACCCCCTCTGTAGGAAATCTCCTGTCACTCTCCCTTCCTTCCTTCACTCCTTGAGGCCGTGCCCCTGCACTTGGCCTCCTTCCACATTCCTTTGTGGTGTCTGAGTTGCTTCCCTGTGTGTAAATCGTACTTCTTCATTTCTTCAGTGTCTGCTTTGTCCCAGCCACTTGCTTGGTGCTGGGACATTGTCTCTGCCCTCGCAGAGCTCCGAGTACTAAAGAACTGTGCAAATAAGCATAATAGTTGCAAATTGTGACAAATGCTATAAGTAAATAGCACAGGGAGGTTTAGGCTAGACTGAAATGGGAGTCAGGAAAAGCATTTTGAATACGTCATGCTCACCTGGACACCTGGACAGGGAGGGGACGAGTGTGCAAAGGCCCTGAGGCTGGAGAGAGTCTCGAGGATTTGGTTTTAAGGAACTGGAAGCTGTTTCATGGTCTGGAGCATGGAATGGGGGGCCAGAGTGACTCTGATGAGACTGATGGATAAGCCAGGGCCACATCCATGACAGCCCATGCTCTGAGGAAGGATGCTTGTCTTTAGCTGCAGGGTAAGTGGGTGCTGCAGCTTGGAGGGGAAGATGGGGGCTCTGGCTCCCTGAGGGGCCACTACCCCGCCTCCTTAAACAACCCACAGAGCTAGTGGGCACAGAAAGACAAACAGCAAGCATTTAGAAGAGGGAAGAGCAGTGACTAGGGACAATGAAGGTCCGAGGAGGTGGTGGAAGCAGGGAGGGCCACCTTCCTGGACGACCTTGGCGATTCCGGCCCGGGTAGGTGGTACCCCAGCTTTGGGCTGTGAGAGGACTAGCTGATGAAGTCACCTCTCCCCTGCACTGAACCTCCTGGCTCGTTGGCAGGATTTGAGGTCCCCCCAACCACTCCATCTCCCCGCACCTCCAAAGCGATGGTGCCAATGGAAAAATGTGATTCTGGCCTTGGGACAGTCAGGGCCGTGAGTGAACAGGCAGGCAGGGTCACCAGGTGCTGGTCTCACTGGTGCCAGTGGAGGGGGCAGGACCGTGAACCTGAAGCTGACCTTACATTTCTCATTTCCCCGGGGGGCACTTTAAAGACTGCAATTGATCTTAGATAAGGTTTAAAGAGTTGGAATACTCTGGAACTGACTGTTCAGACAGAATGTTTTTACGACTGTAAGTAAGCCGGTCTCTGGAGAGTCTGATATGCTTGGTTGTGTTTAATGTCACACTTTCTAATTAGCTTTTTCCTCCTACTCTGTATGAGCCTCAGATTGGGAGTGCCTGACATCTGCCGGGCCAGGATCAGGGCCGGGGCTTCAAAGACTCGCTGCCCACGGTCACCGCCAGCGCTCCTTGAACTTGGGGCATGCTCCCTTCTTTGCAGAGTACTTTCTCATCCAGCCACCCCTTTGTGAGAGGCTGGTGGGACAGATGTTCATTTTCTGCACTTGACAAATAGCATCCAAGCTTCAGAGAGGGAAAGGGACTTGCCTGAGGCTGCACAGCAAGTCGCGGCAGGGCTAGGACCTGGAGCAGGGAGGTGGGTTGGGCAGAGGAGAAAACACCCATGGGCAGCCCCTGGACTCAGGTTCCAGTTTTCCATCGGAACACCCTCTAAGAGGAGAGTGATGCGTGGGCCTCCACCTCTCTCTCTCCTCCCTCTCTCTTTCGGCTGAGTCCAAGTTTGCTATTGCAGGACAGCCTTCTTCCTCCGTGGAGAAAATGAGTTTTTGGCTTTGCAGATGACTGGAGGCCTCCACGATGTACTGAGGAGGCCTGGCTCAACTGACATGGCTGGGATTCTGCTGGGGAGGACTGACGCCGACCAGCGGAGCTCGGGGATTCCACTGGGACTTCTGGATTTGGTGGTACTGGGCCGGCTGATGGCTCACGGGCTCTCGCCTTACACCGTTTTACCCTGGCAGGGGCTGCACACTTGTGCTCCCAGGTGGTGGCCCTCTTCCAAGAGGGGTCTGTTGCCGGGGAGAGCCTTGCCAAGGACAGTGGCTGAGGGCTGGCTGGGAGGGCAAGCGAAGGCCACCGGAGCAAACCTCGCTATGGCACTGTCTTTCCCCAGCTCAGGGAGCCTAGACATTTTGAATTTGGAAAAAATGTGGAAGGGCAGGGCCCCCCAAAGGGCCAAAGCCTTGGCAGAGGAAGCCAGGCATGCAGACCCGGCTGGAATACGAACATCAGGGCATTCCAGGGAAGAGCCTTGTCCCATGTTCCGGGCCTGGCACTGGCTCCCTGATTTATGGCCTCCTTCCCCCTGGGGCCACCAGAGCTCCCACCACATAGTGCCAGGGTGTGCCCGGGTGACCTTGCCCATGGACCCTTGGCATAAGCTGACTTTTCTGGTGCCCTGTGCAGAAATGAGGATGCAGGCATGGTCAAGGCCAAGTCCGTACCCTCCCTATAGGCAACCTATACCTGTATTCACTTGAGCATAGCACCTGCCATTGGATTCTGCTAGCTCAGCTCTTAGCTGCCTTCTGCCCCAGCCCCTGCAGCAGTCTTGCCTTCCCAGCTGAGCTGAAGGCTCCCTGGGCATGTGACCTCAACCATGTTCCAGCCAGTGTGTGTCCCCAGCCCTGGAAACAGCATAGTCTAAGACAGTGGTTCCTGAGTTGGGGGCAGCTCAGCCCCCGGGCAATATTTGGCAATACCTGGAACCAGTTTTGGTTGTCAGAGTGGGGGGTGGTGTTGGGGTCGGTACGGCATCTGGTGGGTAATGGCTAGGGTTGCTGCCTATAGTACCCAGGACAGTCCCACAGCCAAGAACTGCGGGGCCCAAACTGTCGGCTGGGCTGAGGCTGAGAATCCCTGGCCTGGTGGCTAGAGCATGCCTGGAGTCAGACATCGGGGTTCCCGTCCCAGCTCCAGAGCTGCTAGCTGTGTGACCCTGGGCAAGCTTCTCTCTCTCTCTCCCTCGCTCTTTCTCTCTCTCTGTTTCTCTGTCTCCGCCGCTGCTGTAAATCGTTTTGTTGTGAGGATTAACATTTTTAATTCTTAGCGTGGTGCTTGGCAGCCAATCAGGCCTCGGTATATAGTAGCTCTTCTCATTCTTTAGTTCGTCCAGAAAGCACCAGGGAGGCCGGAGTCAAAGAGGCAGACCTCACGGTCAGGTTGGCGCTGCAGATGATTCCCGACAGCAGCCCAAGGGGAGGGCCCCATTGGAGGCCAGGGCAGCCTGGTTGGGGGGCCCCCCCAGGAAGAGGCGGGCAACAGAGGAGGTGGGTGGAGTTAGGATAGGATTTTAAGAAACCCTTACTTGATTTATTAGCAAGTCTCGAAATGTACACTTCCAGTTCCAAGCCTCAAGATTCACTTCCAGCAAATATTTTTCAGACATCTGCTCAAAGACTGAGATTCAGAAAGGTTGAATGATTTGTCTGAGGCCACATAGCCAGGCAGTGCTTTCTTCTTGCCCAGCAGTAATGGAATGAGGATACCAGACGCCAACAATTCTTCTTGGCTTTGGATAGGCGGGTGGAGGTGGCTGCTGGTGGTTCCGCGCACTGGTGCAGAGACCACCTAGAGGACCCCAAGTACTGTCCTCCTCCCTAGACTCCTCCATGGCTCCCTAGTGCCTGCGTGCCCATCATCAGAGTGACTGTAGAAGGGCCGAGAGCCCCTCCGAAGGCAAATGCATGGTTAAGAAGATGGATTATACTTTCACTAAATGCTCAGATTCTGTCAGAAGATGATTATTTTTAATAAGCCCGAAGTGGAGCCTAAGGAAGGGACGAGTGCCAGGAGGTTTAGATGGGGTTGGGCAGGAAACACCTGGAAACAGGCCCTCAATCTTTCTGTGGAAAGAAGCTCTTCACCGTGCTGGAAATCGGGAGCCAGGGTGACAAGGAGGTGGTGTGGGGAGCAAGGGCCACATGGTACCTGACTGCTCAGTCCTGCTCAGAGTGTTGGTGGTCTCTGCTCGGAGGTCCTGGGAACGAGGCCCAGGAGTTGAGTGAGGGGCACCAACGCATAGCCTGAGGGCCTGGGGCTTAGGAGGACACCCCCCCCCCCCCCCAATGAACTGGAAATGATTCCTGCCACCAGGAGTCACTTCTCAACAATCTGAAACAGCAAGCCGGCAGACCTTGGCTCCCATGTCCTGGTCACACAAGGTGGAACCTGAGGACACCTAATTGCCTGGCCTGGCTGGCAGGTGGAAGAATCCACTGTTTAGGGCTATGGGGGCATAGAGGAGTTAAAAACCCCTCACATCATCATCTATGGATTAGTTTCTTTCATTTTTGATTGAATCAAAGGTGCCAAACTAGTTCAGATGTAAAGCTCTTAGGAAAGATTACAGCCTGAAGGCTTCAACAACGGCCTTAGCTCTCTAGCCCACAACCCCAGGGGGCGCTGCGGGAAGGGCACAGGCTGAAGGGGCAGCTGGCCGGGGAGGTGGGAGGCTCCCCCCGCCTTGGCCTGTTCTGGGTCATCTGGCCTGCTGGGTCATCACGTGTAGGTGAAAGGAAAGTAGTCTCTTTCCATCTCAGGTGAGTCACCAAAGTATTTGGGTAGACAGGACCCACGCTAATAACACTGCTTCCGTCTGGAAACTTTTGGGGTTGGGGAGACGTATGGACTGTGGGGTAGGAGGTCCATGTGAAATTCCTCGGCTGAGCCCTCAGGTAAGAGGAGCACCCCAGCTCCATCCACCACCAACGGGCAATGATTGTAGTCCCTTCCTTCCTCTATAGCTTCCCCTCCTGGCCTGTGGGCATTAGAGACTCAGAGAGCCTACACCCCCTTGGGAGGTATGGAGCCCTTTTGTAAACTTTCTGGCCGACTCCTGCAGCTTCTTCTTGATTACCCAGCTCAACAGGGAGTTCACCACCTCAGCAGGCAGCCAGGACCAACAGAAGCCACTCCAGCTATTAGTGAGCTTTGCATTCATTTCCAAATGCTAATGGAGCCATTGGCTTAAAAATCTGTTTTAGAATTTGACCAGAGATCCACAGCTGGCCTTCTTGATGGTAATTTCCAGAACATCCTTTTTCCCTTTTTTGCAAATCGAGACTAGAGTTCCCTGGGTTGACTCCAGCTCCCTGGGTTTCCCCAGTGGCTCCTGTGACCTGGGGCGTTGGGTTCTTTGGGTGACCAGGTGACATTTTGGGGTCTCCTCTTCTACCCTGGGCACTGGAGTCTCTTTCCTCTTGCTGCTTTTATCCTTTTTCACTCGAAGGCTGGTTTCCTTGCTAGGTAGACAACAGCAGCCCAGGTGATGAGCTACTGGGCCCTTCCTCTGCTAATTGAGAACATTCTATGGGGTCCATCCCCTAGGACTGGAGATCTTTCTCTCTGACATAACTAAACAGGCCCAGGGCAGCTGAAGGCTCTCCACACATTTGCAGGAAGCAGCTGTCTGAGGCTGTCTGTGGAACACTTTTGGGGGAGTTGGAGCCTGGTAGCTCGCCCAGGATGTGGACTCACTGGGGCTCCGGACCCGCTCTGGGCAAAGCCAAAAGCCTGGACCAACTGCTCTCCATCCCCACAGAGGTCTGACCGACCATGAGAACGGTGGAGCTGGACTCCCCAGGGACACGACGGCTGTGGCCAATTATGATGGCATCAGCGGCTGGCACTGAGAAACCTCTGTGCCCTAAAATGGCGACCCAATGGCCAGTCGCAGTGCCAACAGCCCACCATCGTTGCTCCATGCCTTCAGATTTGGAAGGATTTTTTTTCTTTTTAAGTATTAAAGAGTCTCAGATTCAAACTTAATCATCATCTCTTTAAGAGTCCTATCAGATAAAAACTTCCAGATGCCTGTTACTTGAAAACAAGACTTGGGGGTTTTAGAAGAGCTGGGGTGGGGATGAGGATGGGGAGAGGCACCCTGGTCTCTCCAACCATGGGAATGAAAACAAGTTGGACACGTGGGAGAATCTGCACAGGGCAACGCATGCCCTTGACCTAAGTAACAGGCCAGGCTCGGAGCTCTTGGTCTCCCCTGTGCAGCTGGGGAGCCCGTGGATCCTGCAGGGACTCATCTCGCTCAACACACTGAACTGCTTGGGTCATTTTCAGGCCTCATCTCAGCGTTCTTGAATACCTGAACCTCGTCGTAACCTCCCTTTCTCTTCAGGTTCCCTGATTCCTGGGCATACATGGACCATCATATTCAAAGCAGGAGCCTGCACCTTCCGGGACCCAGCACAGGGCCCAGCACTGAGAAGGCACAGAAAAGATTTGCAGATCTGACCACCTAAAACGGACAATTATTCCCACCTGCCAACCCAGCAGGGCTGTGCTGAGGTGAAATGGGGCACAGGAATTTCCTGGAAAAGTTTACAGTGCTGTGCACATATAACACGAGTGTTATAATTACAGGCAGTTCCATTTATATCCTGCTGTATTCGGGTGGGCAGGAGCCTGTCCAGATGCAGCTCGGGAACAGCGGATCATGAGTCAGGTTTCCACCCCTCCGCAAGCTGCCTGCTGCGCACAGGTCCTCCCACCCCACTCCCTGCCTCCGATTTGGGATTTCTGACTCAGACCCCCTTAGATTCCATAAGCTTTAAGGGAGCAGCTGCTTGGTGTGGGGAGGAAGAGTGTAAGACTGGTGTTTTTGTCACTCATGTCACTTCAGCGGGTTGCTCAGACTTTGTGTGACTCAGTTTATTGCTCTGGAGACAGGGACCAAGGAATCCTGCCCGATTCACCTCACAGAGGAGTGGGGGCGGGAATCGGTGAGATAATGAAGGTCACGTATAAGCCGGCAGGATCAATAGGTCTTTTCTGGCAAACGAGGAGGCAGAAGGACACTCCTGGGGTGCCAGCCTGGGGAGAACAGCTAGGACACCTGCCTGCCCAACGCATGCCCCCTGACTCAGACTCCTGCTGTGCAGTCCTCCCACCACGCAGTGCTCCCAGGCGGGGCTCCACGGTTTAGAAAAACGTACTCACAGACACCGACTCTCTCGAGGCCCCTCTGGCGATTCCGGGAGGTTCCAGCCCCATCTTGCCAATCAGAACCAGGTGAGGTGTGCCGAGGGCGAGTGACAGCCTGACGCTCCGGGCCTGCGACGCAGAGCCTCTGACACGGCATGCTGCTCGTGACACGGCGTGCCCACCTGGGACCTCTGCCACCTGGCACGTCTGGACACCCTCCCGCATCGGCGTGGGGCCACGCCCCCGCACTCACAGGCCGCCTCGGGCACAGGGTACTATTAGTGCAATGTCTTTGGTTTTGACCCAATTTTCACGCAAGGCTCTGTGGACCGATTGGGACCTTTGATCCTGGAGGAAATGCCCCCATCGGCACCCCGGGCAGGGAGGGGACAGTTCATTACTTGTAGCCCACTCCCTGCTGAGAAGGGCTTGAGACAACCTGTTGCACGTTGAAGACCTTGACTTCCTTCTTGGAGTCATGGCAGACGGAGACAGAGAGACCGGAGAAACAAAGAGGGGTGAGAGCCCAGAAAAGGCGGGATGACCATCTAGAGAGCTGGGAAGTGTACGGAAGGGTGATTCCAACCCCGACCCACCTCCACCACGTGGGACGAAAAGCCCGTCTGCGACATTTCCAGCCCAAAGGACGTTTCGTTCTTGTTGGTGCCTAAAACAGAAGGACAGAAAGATCTAGCTCCATGCCTGATCGCTTATTGCCACACACACGTGCATCTCCACCCCCAGCATCTGTGTCCTGGGGGCCCCTTCAGCGAAGGCAGAGGGCGCCCTAAGGCTGAGTCCAGCAGCACTGCCCTCCTGGGTGGCCCCAGAGGCAGGCAGCCTGCACAGGAGGGCACCAGGCACCTTCTGGCAGCTGCTGGCTTTACAGCCCCATTACTGCTGGACAGGGTTTGGGACGAGTTATATGACAGAGCATGTAAGCTATATGACTGTCAAAATAGGGGAAAGAACAAGAAGAGTCCATGGAAAGAAATAGTCTACATTTTTGGCAAGAAGTGGAAATTCCATTTCTTTCCCCACTTCTCTCATTCCTATTATTCACCAGCTTTGGTTCCAGGGGCCTCTGGAGGATTACCAAGCGTTGGCTCGATCCTTGGGAGGGAGACCTGTCACCACCACAGCTTTGCACAAGAAACCCATGTGTGCTGAAAGCCCCTCCCCAAAGAGTCCCCCCCCCCCCCAGGGCCCTGGAGCTGATGTTCTCCACGCCCAAGGAAACTGTTTCTAGAAGTACCCTCATCTGGATATTTCAGTCCTATGTGAGTGTCAAAACTCAGGTTCACACTTTCTATTCCTTTATCCTGTGGTTAAGGGCTGCTTTTGTCTCCTCGTGGGTCTGGAGCTCATCTTTTCCAATGTGCTCAGGCTCTGGGATGCTGCTTTCTGTCTCTGTTTACAACCCTCCCATGTGGCCCAGCCCAGTGTCGGGAGGGCCGGGTCTAGCAATACACGGCACAAAGGAAAGCCGTGCAAACAAAACTGGAATTTAAATAGTAAGTAAGGTAAGGGGGGCGCCTGGGTGGCTCAGTCGGGTAAGTGCCTGCCTTCAGCTCAGGTTATGATCCCAGGGTCCTAGGATCGAGCCCCGCGTTGGGCTCCCTGCTCAGTGGGGAGCCTGCTTCTCCCTCTCCCTCTGCTGCTCCCCCTGCTTGTGTGCTTCCTCTGTCAAGTAAATAAATAAAATCTTAAAAAATAATAAATAGTAAGGAGAGAGGCAATCGGAAGTAACCCTATGCAAAGTGCTTTCGGCGGAATGGGAGGCAGCTGGACTCAGGGATTAAGCGTTTCAGGCTACGGAGGCAGGCACAGCTGCATCCAAACTAGGGTTGCCAGATAAGATACAGGATGCCCAGTTCAATTTGAATTTCAGACAACCAGTGGATAACTTCTTAGTATCAGTCTGCCACAAACACTGCATTTTATATTTGCTAAATCTGGCGACACTAGCTTCCCAAGCCGGGGAAGCTTTGGCAAGTCACTTGGTTCCTACAGGCTTCAGGATCGTCAGTGGTCAAAGGAGGAGAAAGTCGCAAAGCCACCGTCCGGGGCTGTCTGTGAGGTGCACGGCCTCCAGTCCCGCACGGAATACCACGCATTTATTGTGACGGGATGACTCCTGCTAAAGCATTCCGCATTGTGGGGCTGGATGTCGCTCCATGGGGTTCACTTGATGTGAGCCTGGAAGCGTAGACCTCTCTCGGTAGGTATCGCTTACCTTCCAAGCTGAAGATCCTGTCCCCCAGGGCATCAACAATGTCCTTCAGGGCTGCCTCGTCGGTCACGTTGAAGAAGTGCTTGTCATCGGGGTCACTGGCGATGTATTTGATCTCGTTTAGAAAAGCTTCTGGATTGATCCCCCGGCGGTTGTAGTAGCCTAGGACCTGCCAGGGAACAGGGGCAGGGTGACCAAGCAGGACGTAGCACAGACCTCCCCACACGCCCGAGTCCCCTGACCCCGAGTGGCCAGGGCCACTGTTTCAGCTGCCAGGAGCAGAACTTGGGGTTCCACTTGCAGTTTGAGACAGGCTGTCTTGTAGGGGCCAGAGAAGCCCCCTGGTCTAAGATAAGGGTCTGGGGGCCGGGTGGCTTGGGGGTGTTTCCTAGAGTTCTGAGGTTTCAGAATCTCCCTGGCAATGGAGGAAAAAACCTCCCAAGCCCCCACAACTGTTGTGGATAGCCTTGGACAGCACTGAAGGAAAATTCCCCAGATGCTCTTTAGGAGAGGCTGAAACAAGGAGAGGCCCATTGGAGGGCCTGGACAGCTTGTTCACTACCCAGAAAATGCCCCTGAGACTCCCCAGAGGTTTGATGGCTAAGCCTCTAGGGGCGCGCAGTGTGGGACACTCGGGGCAGGACTCACGGCCACAGCGTATCTGGTCACGTTGTCTCTCTCGCTTTGCTGGATCACCTTCTCCAGGTCTGGGCTGTCATGGGACTCTCCGTCTGTGATGACAATCATTACTTTCTTGGCCCCTTTCCTTCCACCTTTCTGGAAAGCCTCTGAGCTGAAACCATAGCACAGGGGGGTAGGGTCACAAGAAGGATGTAGGGATGGGGCAGCTTCCAGTGCTCCTCCCAAGGGGCAGCCACAGAAGTAGGGCCAAGCCCGCTCACCTCCCCCGAGGGAGCAACCCAACAGGGTTGGATCTTGAACCAATGAAGAAGCTGGGTTGAGATGCCCACACTACTCATTCACCAGCTGCTCAGACGGGTCACGTATCTGCTTGTTCTTTTTTTATTTTTTTAAAGATTTATTTATTTATGAGAGAGAGAGCACAAGTGTGAGGGATACAGGGAGAGGGAGAAAGGATCTCAAGCAGACTCCATGCTGAGGGCAGAGCCCGACCACAGCTTGATCTCATGAGCCTGAGATTCAGGACCTGAGCCAAAACCAAGAGTCAGATGCTTAACCGACTGCACCTCCCAGGCGCCCTTGCTCATCTTTAAAAAGCGACTTTAAAGAACCCCTTTAGGGTCTCGACCATGCTGTTTTGGGCAAGCGAAGGGGACAGGGTGGGCTTGGGAGGAAAGTTCAAGGTCAGATAGAGACCTTTATTTTATTTTAATTTTATTTTTTTAAAGATTTTATTTATTTCTTTGAGAGAGAGAGAGAATGCACGAGTGGGGGGAAAGGGGCAGAGGAAGAGGGAGAAGCAGGCTCCTCACTGAGCAGGAAGCCTGATGTGGGACTCAATCCCAGGACCCTGGGATCATGACCTGAGCCAAAGGCAGACGCTTAACTGACTAAGCCACCCAGGCACCCCAGATGGGGACTTTTAGACACCCTAAGTTAGTGGTTCAAAAACCCAGCTATACATTAGAATCACCTGGGGAGTTTTAAAAAATGCTGATGTCCAGGCCCCACCTGGGCATGTGATCAGAAGCTCTGGGGCATGGCCTGGGCATCAGTATTTTTCCAAAGATCTAATGAATACTGATGCTGAGAACCACTTCCCTACATACTGAAAGGGTGATGGGCCAGAGTAACTCAACACCCAAACAACACTAATCCATAAAATACACGGAATGAAGCCTGAACGAAGTTCTGACTTTTCCCACGAGGACTATTTTGATTCTATTTTAGGAAATATTAAGTATCAAATTCTGTGACAAATACTCCTCTTTCTTGCTTTTTATTTTGTTTTCAGTGCCTGAAGCAGGTGCTTGGCCTGCCTGTTGGACCATCCAGCCAGGGGCCGGGGCCTGGTTTGCTGGTCCACCACACTGTGGAGAGACTCTTAGAGCTGGCAGCCCATCTCAGAAGCAGGAAACCTGGCTCTGGAACCATCACTGGCTCTCGGTGCCTCTGTGGCCAACCCTCCTTTAGACCGTGAGGTTCTGAATAGGAATGACATGGTCTGGACCCAAAGTCTGGCCCAGCAGGTAGGATTTTCCAGTAAGGATCTGAAAATAAATGTTTCCCTGAGACTCTTGGGTCTGACCCACAGATTGAGGCTCCACGATGCTAGGTTAAAGCTCATCACCAGAGGTATCTCTTGTGACACGGCACGCTGATGAACTGATGTGCATGATTTAGATGTTGAGGAATTCACAAAGCCTGGAAAAAGTTAGTTCAGAGCATCTTCAAGCTCCCAGGTAAGAGAACAGACCATCTGCCATTCTCTCAGCTCTATGATATTGTGGATAGACGGACTTAAAAAAAAACATTGAGTTTTGTTTTTGTTTTTGTTTTTTTTTTTAAGATTTTATTTATTTATTTGACAGAGAGAGAGATACAAGTAGGCAGATGGGCAGCCACGCAGAGGGAGAGGAAGAAGGAGGCTCCCTGCTCAGCAGGGAGCCCAATGCGGGGCTTGATCCCGGGACGCCGGGATCATGACCTGAGCAGAAGACAGACGTTTAACTGATTAAGCCACCCAAGCGCCCCAAAGACCATTGAGTTTTAATATGAGCTATGAACTGAAGGAGGCCAGAGGTACACTTGATGTGACTACAGCAAATTTTGAGCATCAGCCTGACCCTGCCAGTCCCTCAAAGGAGATTCTAGATGTTTCCATCACCTCATTGAAGGATCAGGCCCAGGCACAAAACTCCATGTAAAAAAAGTATGGCAGGGGAGAAACAGGTTTTATTATATAGGGAGCCAAGAATTTTCAGGTTCGTATTTCCATATAGTGGAATTGTGTGAATATCTGTATGAATCTGCAATGGGGTGAATATTGACATGAATCATCAAATTTAAAATTGTGACTTTTTATTGTGTAAAAAACCTTGGATTTGTTCCCTTGTAAATCAGATCATAAGTTCCTTGAGAGCAGTGAGAGCTTGATAATCTCAACTCACATTCTGGAAGTCAGAATGATCTATGGACAAGTAGGCCATATCACGTCTCCTTTCTGCTCAAAACCTGCACTGACTCCCATTTCTTTCGGGTCCTGACAATGGCCTATCAACCCATCATAATCTGGCCCAGTCATCCCTCTGTCCTTCTGAGCCCTTCCTCCTGCTTCTTCTCCTTAATTAAAAGTGTGGAGTGAACTAAGGTGGAATCACATCATTGTCCCCATGGCCTCCAAGCCATACATGACTACCAGATTCACCTTTACGTGCATATCTGATGAAAACACTCTCGAGCCTAAGAGCCCTCCATGGCCACTCATGGTTGTTTTAGCCATGACATTATCATTCTCACAATCTGGCTCCAATCCCCCAAACAGGAACCCCATTCCATTGTCAAAAGACTCCAAATATAAACATTCCTTGACTTTCCCCCTCTTCCGTCCTTGACCGGATGGAATGTCTTCTTTCCACCTCTCCCTGATCGAATCCTGGGGTCTTCTTAGGGCAAGCCAAATGCCAGCCCCTCTTAGCAAGTCCTCCCTTAGATCCTCTCCTTTCATCCTCACTGATTTAGGCTGATGCTTCTCAGAGTTCCTGACTGGGCCAGGGGGGGCCACGGGTTACCATCTCTGTAACCCTCAAGTCCATGGCCTGGATCTTCATACTTTTGCAGGTGCACACAGGAAAAAATGCATTGTGAATAACTGAGTGAGGAGAGCAAACCTTTTACTTTAAGACACACCCCCTGTAATTTGGGACTTGGCAGGCTGAGGAGATCAGATTTCAAACTTCACTTGAGGCCCAGATTGCATATCCCAGCAGTGCTCATGAGTCACGACTGGTTCAAACTACTAAGTGGGTCCCACACTCGTAATTGACCTGGGGTTGGTGGGCTGCATCCCTGTATGAGTCAGTTAGTTCACACCGAAGAAATGATCACCAGTGGGCACCGGCTTCCTCTGTTGCCCCAGCAATTCCATGGGTGCGTGTGGGGGGCTCAGGGACTCATCCCAGTGACAGCAAAACAGAAAAATGGCCCGTTCCTTTTGAGGATGAGTAAGTGCCATCTTCACACGGAGGGAGGCTCATGGCCCATTCTTTGTGAGGATGAGTAAGAGCCAGGTTCATTTAGGAAAAACATTTGAGCAAGTTTTATCAGCAAACAGAATTATGTTAGTGGAGCCGTAACTTAATTATAAAGAGTTATAAGGTTGGAGAAAGTTTCATCGTTTGACCGCATGAAATCACGTTACTGCTAAATTCTATTAAACACTTTGGCTTATCTGACGTGAGGTGGGATTATACGAAAATGGGCCTGTGGTCTCAATGGACATAGCAGAGCTTATCTTTGTAGATGTAGAATTTATACATTTAAAATCCGTTAGCCTTAGATGTAGTCACCTTAGGGGTTTAGGCCTCAGCTCAAAAGATCTTGGGGAATTGCTTCTAAAGTCACTTCCTGATTTCAGTGGGGGTGAGCACAATGTTCTGAGCAATGGCCGTGTCACTGGAGAGCACGGAGCCATCCGTGAGGGTGCTGTCTAGAGGTAACATTCATCTTCATGGTGAGTGGGTACTGGTGTGGTTTTAAGGAGCCAGCCTTGTGAGTCTCCAACCTCAGGAGTTAGGAGTTACATTTAACGATGTTCCTCGCACTCCACTGTGACACGGACTCCATGGAAGATTCTGCCCTCCTGGAACCTATCCACTTTTTTACGGGTCTCTGTGGCACTGCGCATTTTCCAAAGTTGGTTGCAACAATACCTCCCATTCCAAATGCTCTCCTGTGATGTGACCTTGCCATTCCTCCATCAAGAGGCAGAATCAAGTTCTCTTCCCCTTGAACCTGGGCCGGTCTTAATGACTTGCTGGATCAATAGAATATGGCAAAAGTTATATCTGGGACTTTGGGGGCTAGGTCAAGGCAGTCTCAGAGTTCCTGTGGGGGCCTCTTGGAAAGCTCTCTTGGGACGCTCCCTCTCAGAGCCTGGCTGCTACACCACGAGAAAACCGAGCCACATGGCCACGTGTGGGTGCTCAGGTTGCCAGCCCACACTGAGCTCCCAGCCAACAGCCCGAGACAACTGCCAGCCTCATGAGTGTGCCATTTTGGATGTCCAGTCCAGTCAACCCCTCCAATGACAAGAGCCCCAGCTGACACACCGGATTACACCCATAGGAGAGAGCCCCAGAGAGAATGCACCAGCTGAGCCGAGTCAACCCTAGAACCTGGAGGGATTAATAAATTATTGTCTCAAGGTACAGAATTTTGTGGAGGTTTGTTACACAGCAATGTAGAACTAGACAAGTTATCTGAGATTTAAGTAAATTATCATTATTTCTATTTTATTGGCATTTTTTTTTTTTTTTTTTTTTACCGAGCAAATTCGATGCCAAATGCCGTCCGGGTCTCCGTTCCTCCTCTCTGCTCAATGTGGCTGGCAGCTTCCACCACATCTCGTACAGACCTGTAGTCATTGAGGTGAAATTCATGCACCACGTCTTCTCCGTATTGGACAACTCCAACCTGTGAGGGAAGAGAAAGGACCCCTGAAAGCTGTGCTGTGGGCGGTGAGGCTTTCCAGAGTCATCTCTCTGTCTGCAACTGTTGGGGAGTGCGAAGGGCGGGGGAACTTCCCAAGGAAGAGTCACTGGGAAGGGAAGCTATTCTGCATAGTTCTGCAGAGCTCCAGGAATGAATGGGTGGCTTGGTGGGGTGGGTGGAAGGCGCCTCTCCAGAGGGGAGACTGTGAGGTGGGATCGATCCCCGCCCGTGTCGGGCTCCTTGTCTAGCGTGGAGCCTACTTGGGACTCTCTCTCTCTCCCTTTCCCTCTGCTCCTCCCAGCTTGTGCACTCTCTCTCTTAAAACAAAAAAACAAAAAACAATAAAAATAAAGAAAGGCCCAACAGATTATGTTGCTTGAGCATAGGATTGAAGCCTAAAATATTAGGAGCAGAATGACTGGAGGGCCATGGCATTTTTCACCAAAGGCTGGAACCAAGGTTCCTGAAAACTTGGAGGAGAATCTTTCATCGCCAAGGCTGATAAGATATAGACAATATTAATAGCCTCAAAATAAACAAAAAGCCTTAAGGGCCTATAGTAGGACTGGAATGAGAAAACCTTCCTGTCAGATGGGCCCCAAGTTTATCTGGTGCCTTTTTAAGGCCAGACTTTCGTGCACGAGACCCTAAAGATGACCTTCCCGTTGTGGGCAAGTCATTACTTCTTGAGAAAGCCCACTGCCTTTTTAACAGCTCTAATTGTTACAAAATAATTTCCTAGAATGACTTGTAATCTGCCACCTCGTGCCTCCTAAATGTCAGTCCTCACTTGGCCACCCAAAACAATACAGAATAAATCGACCCCCTCTTTAGCCCGGTGGCGTTTCGGACACCTGCTGGTAGCTATGTCCTCCCTCCCGCCCCCTCTCGGTCTTCCCTCAAGATCTGTGTGTCTAATTCTCCCCTGTGCCTCACTCAGTAGGGATCCACTCAACCGTCCCTGCCTTCCTTCTTACTCTCTCTAGGAAAAGTTTCTCTTAATAGGTGGCATCTATCCCAGAAGACGGGTTTGGCCGGTGAAGTGGGGCCTCCTCGGAACCGTCCCTGGATGCACCCAGCAGAGGTGGGCGTCCTGGGCTGCAGGGCCTGAGCCTGGCCCTTGCACCTACACCTCATTAGCATGTGCAAAGATGCTCCTCCACGGCCCAGGCCAGAGTCTTCCATAGGTTTGGGGAGCCCTGGTCAGAGGAGGAGGGAGACACTCACCTGGATCTGCCCAGGGCCGATGTAGAACTTCTTCAGGATGTTGATGAGGAAGTGCTGAACCTCCACCCAGGGGTAGATGCTGTTGGAACCATCCAGGACAATGATGATGTCCATGTAGGTCTGGCACCCTGGGAAGTGGGGACACCGTCATGGCTGCCCAGTAACTCGGTGCTTTCAGTCTCTGATTCTCCAGGTGTGGGTCCAGGGGACAATAGAAGAAGGACCCTGTCACATGCATGTAATTCCCTGGGCTAGGAGTTTATTTGGGCAACATGAATGATGAGCCCAGGAATTCCTGGCTCTGTTCAGCCACTCTGTGCTGGCTGTTTGAACCAAGCTTAAGTCCACCCTGACTCCCTCTGCTCTTCATCAGGGACCAACCTACCATCAGCTGGCTGATGCTTTCAGCCCAAATGAATGAACTTCACTTTTTAGGAGAGCAGTAAGGGGTGATGGCTTAGGATGAGGGATCCAGCAACAGACCGTTTGATTCCCGGCTTTGCCGGGCATTAGCTGTGTGACCTTGGGCAAGTCACCTAACCTCTCAGTGCCTGTTATCTCTGCTGCAAACACAGGCTTGGTGATAGGAGAAGGTTGCCAGGAGGAATCAAGGAAATGAGGCTTCTAAAGGGCTGAGCACAAAGTCAGTGCCCAAGAAATCTTAGCGGATCCTCTTATTTTTTTAAAATTTTTATTTATTTATTTATTTATTTATTTATTTTTAGATTTTATTTATTTGAGAGAGAGAGAATGAGAGAGAGCACATGAGAGGGGGGAGGGTCAGAGGGAGAAGCAGACTCCCTGCCGAGCAGGGAGCCCGATGTGGGACTCGATCCCGGGACTCCAGGATCATGACCTGAGCCGAAGGCAGTCGCTTAACCAACTGAGCCACCCAGGTGCCCCTCTATTTATTTTTAAGCAAAGTACTTTGTCAATGTGACAATGACATCGTCAGGTCAAGCATTTGTGCCTTTATTTCTGCTCTGAGCATAAAGGTTTCTCTATATTCTTATAATATTAATACCAAGTTAAAATGAACACTAAAAACCATCAAAGAAACATTGGTACCGCAACAAATGCAACAATCTTTTAAAATCTAAGTAACTTATTTCTATTGGTGAACAGTTAGGGTTGCTTTGAAATTAGATGTCCCAATATATGATATATACATACTATATTAGATTATATCATATTGAAATATTGGGTATCTGCTGACTTCTACTGGAGAATTTTCACACTGTTGTAAAATCTACTTTATAGCAAAATGGCAGGAGACTTCTGTGTGTTAACCATTCCAGTAACTCCTGCATCATGAAGGTGCAGTTGGTTGAAGTCAGTGCTCACCAGAGACAAAAGGTGGCGGCTTTGAATGTAGACATTCTCGTCCCACCTGCATGCTGTGTGCAGCATGTGATGGCCCAATTCTTCTGGGCTCACACAGCCAGATAGCTTTGTCCTTTTCCAGCCTGGTTAATGCCTGCCACCAGCTGTGTGGTGCGGGCGGCCAAGGACGTGACTGAGACAGAAACTCCTTAGTTAGGCGGAGTTCCTAATCCAGTGGTAGGAACAAGGTTTCTTTTATTTTTAAGCCATCTTTATTATTAGAACGCATTTATTACTGCTGATTTCTTTCGTGCTATTTCACTTTTTTTTTGAAAGCATCTTGGGAAGAACTTTGCTTTAGATCTGTGGTTCCTAAACAGGACTGAACACTCCAGGGAACACACACACACACACACACACACTCACTCACTCCCACGTACACACACCCTGGGGCTTGTCCCAGACCTACTGAGTTAGAGCCTCCAGAGCGGGTGCCCTGGGGTCTGTGTCTGATAAGCTCCCAGCACACTGCTGCTGGTGGGCCAGATGAGCAGGCCTCCACCAGAGGAGTTCCTGGAGGCTTAGATGGTCATTTGTTGGCCTGGGGTGAGGTTCCCCATTCACACCTCATGTGACCGAACTTGCCAGCCACAGTACCACCTTTCCCTTGGCCACTTTGTGAGCATAGAATCGACACCTTCTCCTCACCCTTAAAAGGACCACTTTCTAGCCCCTGCTGTGCTGATGTCCCCCGCCAGCCCCCCCTTCCCCGGCCAGAGGTGCTAATCCTTTCACCCTCAATAAAACGGGTTAGCACCTGCTTGGATGACGGTATTCAGCCCAGAGGAAATAGTGAGGCTTGGAGCCAAGTAGTCTGGGCTTGCAGGAGACAAGGTCTGAACACTATTTCTCCAGATTTTCTTGGCTGGTGGGGAGTGAGTGGGAGGTTTTGTGTTCCATGAGCCTCTGGGCAAGCTGGGCAGAACTTCCTGATATCCAGGAACACCAGTCAGAGGGGGCCGTTACCAGGGATATTTCTGTTTTCCTTGGCCTTCCACCTACAAGGCAACTGCATCGCGTAACATCAGAGGGCACCATTCACATTGTAGTCTAAGTGAACAAGGTCCCCAGAATTGTGCTGAGCATGGGCTTGCTGCTCTACATGGTGGCCCAGCAACCTCTTCCTCACTCACAGTGGGTTTGCAGTGAGCCTCTCTGCCTGCCAGGATTGTCTTCATAACCTCAGCTCGTTGGCCTCCTACCAACACTCTGTTGTGGGTAACCCACAGGTTCTGGGGCAGGGCGGGGCTCGAGTCCAGGTGCTGCTTTGTAGCTGCAGGGTGGGGGGGATCAGAGCTCGGAGCCTTCCATGACCGTCGGCCACTCAGCATGGGTCTGCCGATTTGAAGCTACTTACGTTGGAGAGCTGGGGCCACCGTCTTGGAGAACCTGAAGTTGGAGTTGACTCTCGAACACATCCCTGTGGTGTAGTAGGAACTCCCACACTCGTGAGACCAGAGGGGGCTGCAGGCCTGTGAAGCACAGGGCAGACCCCTAGTCAGTGGGGGATCTCCGGGAGGGTCCAGACCCAACAGGCTTTGGCCCAGCCCAACCTCCATGACCTAAGATAGACATCCTCTATCTGAGTATTGGTACTCCAAGGATTTAGAGAGTCTTCTTGGAGTCTAACTGAATTATTTCTTGCTCTAATGTGTTTTAGTTCTCTTGCTTCAGATGGAATGGAGAAAAACTAATCTTAGAGTCCTCCTTTGTTGCATTTTCAAGGGTCCCATTCTCTATCCCATCACCTAGAGTTGTGACTCTCCTTCACCCTTCCTGCCCACTCTACCCACCACGCAGCATCATCCATGAGAGTGAACCCTTCAAGGTCACTAGAAGAACCTCTCTGTCTGAAGAGGTCACCTGAAGGTCCTTACTGGGAAAACTTCCAGGACTGGGTTCCAACAATATACCCATGCATCTTACTGGGAAAAAAAAAAGAATGTTTCTCCTCCTTCTCTGAAATTTGCTACCAAACACATTGATGTCAGCTTCTCATTTAAAGATTAAGTGATGCGTCCCCCTCAGGGTCAGGGTCATTAAAAATGAAAGCTCAGCCACATGCCTCCATTTTTGTCTTGCTGCCAGGAAACCCAGGACTAAATTTTGTCCTATAATTTCCTTTGGTCTGGAAAAATAATTATTCCATTTCTAATTTCTTTCTTTAATTAGCTTTCTTTTTTTAGTCAGATTTTAAGGGTTTTGTTTTATCTCTGTCCTTTGTTGAAGCTTCAGTAAATTATTTCTGGAAGTAGAGGGAGAATAAAGGAGGGTGGATGATGGATGATGGCTAGAGGGATAGATGGATAGGTGATGGCTGGAGGGACAGATGGATAGATGATGATGGATGGATGAATAGATGGATGGATAATGGATGGATAGATGGATAGATAATGGATGGATGAGTGGGTGGATGGATGATGGATGGATGTAAGGGTGGGTGGAAGGATGGATGATGGATGGATAGATTGATAGATGATAGATGGATGGATGGGTGGATAGATGATGGATTGATGGATGGCTGGATGATGGATAATGGATGGATGGATGATGGATAATGGATGATGGATGGGTGTAGGAAGGGATGGATGGAAGGATGAGTGAATGGGTGGATGAATAGATGAATGGAGAGATAAACAATTGGTTGGAGGATGGACTGATGAGTGAATGGATGAATGGATGAGTGAATGAGTGAACAAATGTTGCCATTCATAAACCAGGGACTTAACCAATCCATGGAAGCCCCAGAGGGTGTATCATACAATCCTTCTTGGGCCTTCATCCACCTTGTGAAGTAGATGAAATCAATTTGGTAGGAACATGATAAGGAGCCTCAGAAGGAAAAAGGAGTAGCAAAAAAGCCCCTGACAGGTCTGTGTGTGGACAGGACCCAGGGCCCTGTTTGCCCTTGGTTGGGATGATGAAGGGCTGCAGGCTGACCACACACCAAGGCACCTCTGGACTTTCCCTGGCAGGGCCACTATGCTCTCCACAGCCCCTGAGCATCCCACTCATCTTGTTGTCCTGTTGTCTGGTGCTCCACACCCTGAATGTCCCATCTGTCCACAGAAACTTTTTTTTTTTTTTAAGATTTTATTTATTTATTTGACAGAGAGAGACACACAGAGAGAGGGAACACAAGCAGGAGGAGTGGTAGAGGGAAAAGCAGGCGCCCCGCGGAGCAGGGAGCCCAATGCGGGGCTCGATCCCAGGACCCTAGGATCATGACCTGAGCCGAAGGCAGACGCTTAACGACTGCGCCACCCAGGCGCCCCTATCCACAGAAACATATTGTTGGATAAGAACAAAGAGCGACACAAGCCCTCCCATCTTAAAATGAGTGGCTCATTTTATTGGGCTTTCTGGGGTAATGTTTCTCTGAATTCTTCTCCTGTAGCTGTCTCTAGAACTATCTGTCCCAGCTGGATCCTGTTTTGAATCTCCAGCATTGCCCAGCCCATGGTGGCAAGGAGCAGGCAGCGTCCGCCATGATGCCAGCCACACTTGCTGACTGTGTGCAGGGTGCAGAGACCTCTGATGACAGGCCTTCCTGCTCCAACGTCATGTTTACACTCCTTGTTGGCTTATCAGCTCTCCCCCCACCGGAACTGAAGCCCCAGGGGAGGCAGGCGCTCTGTTGACTGCTGAATCCCCAGTGTCCGGCATTGGGCTCAGCACATCGTAAGGGCTCAAAGCATTGGTGTTGAAATGAATAAATGTCCCTACCACTTCAGCACAAGTACCCCCTCCTCTCTCTTCCCTGCTAAGACCCCTGTCTCTTCTTGAAAAGCAAATAAAAAACCTCCCCCAGAGGGGTGCCTGGGTGGCTCAGTCATTAAGTGTCTGCCTTCAGCTCAGGTCATGATCCTGAGGTCCCAGGATCGAGCCCCTCATCGGGCTCCCTGCTTGGCGGGAAGCCTGCTTCTCCCTCTCCCACTCGCCCTGCTTGTGTACCTGCTCTCGCTATCTCTCTCTCTGTCAAATAAATAAATAAAATCCTTAAAAAAAAAAAAAACCTCCCCCAGAAAGCCTTCCCATCTAACCCTGCACAGTCCGGGGGTCCCAGTGCTCTGTATCTCTTCCCTCAGTCGTCGTAAATCTGTGTTCTCTCATTTATGGCTTCCCTTCAGAGACTTCTTTTTTTTTTTTTTTAATATTTTTTATTTATTTGACAGAGAGAAAGACAGCCAGAGAAGGAACACAAGCAGGGGGAGTGGGAGAGGGAGAAGCAGGCTTCCTGCCGAGCAGGGAGCCCGATGCGGGGCTCGATCCCAGGACTCTGGGATCACGACCCGAGCCGAAGGCAGACGCTTAACGACTGAGCCACCCAGGCGCCCCCCCTTCAGAGACTTCTTAGGGTGTGTGGTGTGTCCTGTTTCTTTGACCGAACCTGGAGCAGAGATTCGCGCCCTCCCCCACCCCCGCCTCAGAAATTCGGCTCTCCAGAAGGAGGGATGGGCTCCCTTCACACCGTTGGCCGTCTTTATTCCTGTTCCTTTCAGGCTGTCCATCCTGCAGCCCCAAGGTGTGCACACAAAAGAGCTCAATATGTTTTCCTGCCGGGGCTGTCCCCCTCAAAAGCTGAGGGTACCCTGGCAGAATGGTACAGGCAGGAAGTCTGGGGCAGAGCTGCTCCCTGAGCGTGCGGACAGAGTGTGAGCGTGTAAGGACACAGTGACTCACCCCCTGCCTCTCCTGGCCCCAAGCAGAGGGTCTGTGGGGCAAGAGGGGCGGGGATGTGGAGAGAGGGTGGGGTGGGTGGCTCTTACCAGGAAGCTGTTGTCCTTGGGGTTGGTGGCCAGGCTCAGGCCGAGGCGCATATTGTCCTTCCTCTCAGACACGTTGGACAGAGTGACCCTTCCTGGGGTGGGAGGGAGAAACTTAGCCAGCAGTCCCCCTCCCCCCCGCCCACCCCGACCCAGAGCCCCCTGCAGCTGTCAGCCACCAGAGTCCTTCCTGATTCTCCCCGCCCCTCTGGAACCCTTGATCGCCTGCACGTCCAGGCAGCCCTCCATGCTATATTAAGGTCTTGCCCAGACGTGGTCTTAGTACTTCCTCACAATTCCCTGTGAGATGAGGAAACTGAGTCTCAGAGAGGCCAAGCAACCTGTTCAAGGTCACACAGCAAGCACTAGGCAGAGCATTGCCTAGTCCAGCATTTTTCCTCCTCCAGACATCTGACCGGTCCCTAGCATTCCTCATGTGTCCTGTCCTGCATCTTCCAGAACGCCTGACTTAGGCTGGCTTCCTCTGGGCAGCGTCCCCTCCACATTTTCCTTCAAGACCGTCTGCCAGCAAAACTTAGTGGTCCGGGTCCTCCCGTGACCCTGGCTCTCTGCTCATCTGATAAACTGACATATGATAACCAGTTCTCTGCCAGGACAGCAAGAGCTCTCTACAGGTGTGTGAGGTCTTGCGAGAACATCCTTCTGTGGTTGGCTGTCAAGAGAACTGATTAGGAGCAGGATTACTATCAGCCAGCTGAGTGTCAGGAGAGGGCTGGGGCAGATTAGAATTGCTCACAAAGATTCTGTGAAGGTTTGACAAAATCATTCCACCAGACCACTGAAGGGAAGGAAGCAAGCTTGGCTCCCCCAGAAGTGTCATGGCTGTTGGGGTTTACACACGTGTGTGGGCATGCGGCAGGGCGTAGCGTTTCGGGGGGAAGTGAGCTGGGCATTTCATTAAATGCAGAGCAGGTCAATCTTCCTGTCCTCTGAGGGGCAAGTAGATGTCTTCCCTGCCGACTTCCAAGGATTTGGGTGGCCTCCACTGAGAATGGTTTGCATCTGGATTCGGTGGTGGCTGTCAGTTTGAAGAGGGGCCTGGGGCCGGGCATTAGCAGGGGCCCGAGCTTCGACGCCTCACTGTGCTGTGGGCTGGGGGTGGGGACCGCTGCATTGGTTGTTTTTTCTCTCTGGGTTCCCCCAGTTGGTAGTAAGGCTCCTTTTGAAATCCAGCCCCTCTTGGCTGGAGACTGAGTGACTGGGGTTGTTTTGGTTTTGTCTGTCCAAAGAAGCCAGAGAGAAAAGAATAGTAATAACTCCGTGTTTTTATAATGCCTATATTATTTACAAAATACTGCCCACATGTGCCCTCCCAGGACCGCATCTTGGTCCTGGGAGGCCCAGGAGTCAACATTCCCATTTCACAGATGAGAAAATGGAGATGCAGAGAGGGTTAGTGACTTCTAGAAGGTCAGTTGCTGGTAGATGAGAGAGCGGGGACGTGAGTCCAGGCTGTGCACCATTCCATCCTGAGCTGTCCTGTCTGATGGCAGGGCGGTGGTGGCAATGGGGTGGTAGTGAGAAATCTGGAGAGGAAGCTCTAAGCCCTGACTGGGCAACCTCCACCCCTCAGCAGCTTGGAGACTTCTGCCCTCCGTTTGTGTCATGGGCATGCCCCCCCCACCTTAACTTACCTCACCTCACCTCACCCCACCCCACCTCACTCCACCTCAGCTCACCTCACCTCACCCCACCTCACTTCACCTCATCTTACTTCACCTCACCTCACTTCACCTCACCTCACCTCACCTCACTTCACCTCACCTTACTTCACCTCACTTCACCTCACCTTACTTCACCTCACCTCACCTCACCCCACCCCACCCCACCTCACCTCACCTCACTTCACCTCATCTTACTTCACCTCACCTCACCTCACCTCACTTCACCTCCCCTCACCTCACCTCACCTCACCCCACCTCACTTCACCTCACTTCACCTCACTTCACCTCACCTCACTTCACCTCACCTCACCCCACCCCACCTCACCTCACCTCACCCCACCTCACTTCACCTCACTTCACCTCACCTCACTTCACCTCACCTCACCTCACCTTACTTCACCTCACCTCACCTCACCTTACTTAACCTCCCTTCACCTCACCTTACTTCACCTCACCTCACCTCACCTCACCTCACTTCACCTCACTTCACCTCACCTCACCTCACCTTACTTAACCTCCCTTCACCTCACCTTACTTCACCTCACCTCACCTCACCTCACTGTGTACCATCTCCTTCCCCCTGGTCTCAGTGACTAAGTCCTTAGTCAGGTTGCTGACCCAGAAGCCGATGAACATCGTAGGGGAGACTCAAGCTCACATCCTGCTTTTGCTGCATACAGGCCTTGTGGACTTGGGGCAGTCACCACCCTCTCTTGGGTTCCGTCTGCCCCTCTGTGAGCAGGAGAGACTAGCATCTTTCTCAGTGGGTCTGTTTGAGGACTGGGTGGCACAAGCCCTTCCTCACGCGGAGCCTGCCTTCCAGAATCGCATCCTCTGCTTGAGCCTCTGCCCTTCGTTAAAACCCCGACTTCATCCGGGTGTCGGGAAGGAAGTGCCAGTGACAGGCTTTTTCACACTGAGTTGTGAATGTCTGCCACCCATTTAGCTTTCCCTGGAGAGAGAAGAAAGGACATTCCTGGCTTGGTGAGGCTCACAGCCTGGAAAGGCCATAGGAAAACCCAGGAGTCAGGTTTCCCAGCCTCGCGTTTTCCGCTGTGGGGATAAACTGACAGATGGTCTTCCTGCCTTACACTTTCTCCTTGGTGGGAGGGAAAGAAACACTCCCCAAATGAAAGGCTTCATGATCGGTTCTTTTCCTCTACTCTGACTCACTCTGCTGCCCACCACCTCCCAGCTTATGCCCCAGTTCGGGAATGTTTTCCAGGGTCTGATGGCTTCATGGCTCTCAATGCCAGCAGGGGCTCCTCCTCCTTTGGAGGGAAATAGGATCCACACTGGAAATCAGAGCAGTAAAGGAAACTAAATGATGAATTCATGTGTCTATGTCCCCACCTGGACCAGGAGCTTCTCTCAGCGGCCTTAGCCTGAACCCAGTGCTCACCCCTCCCACCCCCTCCTCGCTCCCTCTGCCCCAGCTGTGCGGCCCTTCTTTCAGAGTAAGCTCATTCCCACCTCAGGGCCTTTGCACGTGCTCTTCCACTGCCTGGCATGCTCTGGCTCCACCTGACTCCTTGCCATTGGACCTTTGCTCAAATGTTACCTGCTTAAGGAGGCCTCCCCTGACCACCTTACTGAGGTAGAATCCCCTCCCCACCACCTCCCTCCCCAGCCTCTCCTCTCGTAGCTCTGTGGTTGATCACACAGCATTTATCCCTGCCTGTAGCAGTATGCCTGTCTATCTCTACCTGATTTCTAGTTTGTCTGCTTGCTTCTTGTCCTCTCCCAGGAGAGCCCTTGGCTTCCTGTGCCCTGCTGTATCCCCAGAAACTAGCACAGTGCTTGGCACATACTAGGTTCTCAGTAAAATTTGGGGACATATTAGACCTGGAATAGATCCTAGGGTCATCGAGTCCACCCTCCTCACTTTACACATGAGCGAACCGAGGCTCAGAGACAGGATGTGAACTCCCTATGGACACACAGCACAGAAACTGTCCAGCTGGAAGGAGAAACCCCGCGGGGCTTGTTTCAGAAGCCTGTGCCTTCAGGGTGGGGGTGATTGGGTTCTGTGAGCCACCAGCGAGGCTCCCGCCTCCCCCCAGACTGTTTCCTTACTGGAGTCTGGGCCCCGGCTGTGCTAGGGGTTTGAACTTCCCACCCACGGTGCTGACGCAGATGTGGACAGTGGGAGCGTCCGGCACCATGTGATGGGACAGCTGGCCGCCCTGGGGATCTGGGTTCTTGGGCTTTCTTTTTGATGCGGGCCTTTGCCTCCATCTGCTTATCTATTGAAGCTCTGCCACCTCCCCCACCAGGCCCACCCCCCCCACCCCGGCTTCACCTCCCCAGGGAGCCCCACCCCTCAGCTGGCTGCTGGGGGCCAGAGGCTACCTTCCTAGAAGGCGGGGAGGCCAAGGGTCCTGGCTCTGGGGAAGGCAAGCCTTAGCGGCAGGGCTGAGATGCTGCCATCTGAGATGCTGAGATGGCAGCATCTCAGCCCAAATGGAACTTTCACTCCCTTCTGAAAGCAAAGCCATGGTGTGACATTTAGGACAGAGTGGAAGTGCTTTAGAGGATTAGCATGGGTGTTTTCACAGATGCACAAGGATGTGCACACATGCGCACACGCATACGCACACACGGATCCTGTGGGGCTCTTGGGTGAGGACAACGCCTTCATTTCTGGAAGGCCATGCTGCTCACTGACGGCAGGGTGGCTGAGGGCTGCCTGGATTGGAACCTCGGCCTCGCTACTTCTTAACTAGGGGACTCTCGACAGATGCCCTCACCTCCCCCCGCTGCCATTCCCTCCTTTGTTACCTTAAATCTCGAATGGTCGTCGAGGGGATTAAACGAGTCCAAAATCCCTAAAAGTGCTTAAACCAGTGCCAGGCACACAGGGAACATTATAGAAGATATATGAATATTCGCTATTGTTATTACTTCAAAACTGGAAAGAAGACAGGAAATGTCTTTCTCCCGCTGGAAGAGAAAGCCTTGCGTTGAGGGGCAGTGAGGGAGTCGGAAAGAGCAACGGCCGGGTACACTGGAGGGCAAAGTTTGCATCCTGGCTGGCCCCTGACAAGCTGGTGCAACTCTGAGAAAGTGGCTTCCTCTCTCTGGCCTCAGCTTGCTCATCTGTAAAATGGGGGCAGCGACCCCAGGGTGAGTGGGAGAAGCCAGCGTGACTGTGGGCATGGACGTGCTTTAAAGCCTGTCCCGCCCTAGACGGTGGTTGGCCTCACTGTGGGGAAACCAGAGGCTCACGTTACCCAGGTTGAGCTTGGTGCAGTTCCCATGGGTCACCGGACACTTGTACACGTCTCCCGTCTTTTGGTGGCCGTTGGTTTCCAATGGAGCACCCACGACCAGCCTGGGAAGGAAAAGAAGACAAGTAAAGACGCCGGAGGAGGTGCTTCTTCCTGGCAGAGGTTGGAACGGGGAGGGCAGTACTGAGGGGAAGATGGGGTGAGGAAGGCGGGAGGAAATGCTCAGGGGCAGCCGTGTGCAGACCCTCCAACTCAGAACTGTGTCTCCCAGGGAGAGGGACACCAGGTGTTTGGCACGAAGTCATGGGGCCTGTGACCTACTCTGGGCCCTTGCCAAGATCTAGAGATACAGAGATGAAGACCACATGGGTTCTGCTGCAAATGGGATGGAGGTTAGTCCCTGGGAGAAGAGAGCAGGGCAGCCGTCATGGGGGAGGTGTGGTTGGCCTGGGTCTTAACGGGTGATGATGAGCTTGTCAAACAGTGGGAGGGTGGCAGTGGTGGTCATTCAGGCAGAGGAATGATGGTTTTGGAGTCATAGAGTCCTGGCCATGTGTTAGGACCTGTGGAGGGCCTCATTCCTCATCGTACGTGACAGTCTTTCCGCTGGGGACCCAGGCGCTGGGGGGCATGGTGCCTAGTGGTCATTCATGGCTGCCTCCCGAGCCACTAAATCTTTGCTCAAGGTGGGCGAGGCACCCAGTGGGGCTAAAGCATGGCCAGGGGCAGGCACCCAGCTGGGGCCTCCGCCTTGGGCCTTTGCCTTTGTGACCTTGCTTGCCCAAAGAAGCAATCGTGTCTTCTGACTTCTGCTGGCTGAGAGAGGACAGGCTTGGAGGTTCAGGCTACCCAGGACTCCAGCGGCTTCTTGTGGTCAGATTGCCCCCGGCCCCCGCTCCTGCCCACCTCTCTCTGCTCTCAGGGAAGCGTGAGAGGTCTGAAGGGGGTGGTTAACAGAGCTCTGTTTGAAATTAGAGTTTATGAAATAAGAGCTGAGCTTTCTCCCCTGGGAACCAGATAATGACAGATTCTAAATATATCCGCTTATTAAGCATGCCTATTTTTGACCAGCAGGAATTAATTGGACCCATAAAATCTGTTTGTCTAGACGATGTGATTTTTGGCTACTTAATTCTGTGAGCGATTGTGTGGTCAAGGCTGCTGCATTTTTTTCAGCAAGGGGGGGTGGGGAGAGAGAGGGAGAGACAGAGAGACACAGAGAGAGACCAAGAGAGAGGGAGGGAAGGAGGAAAGGAGAGAGGTAGAGAATGGGTGAGGGAGGGAGAGAGAGGGAGAGGAGAGAGAGAGAGAGACAGGGAGGGAGGGAGAGAGACAGGAAGGGAGGGAGGGAGAGAGGAAGAGAAAGCTAGGGAGGAGGGAGGAAAAGAAGGATGAAGAGAGGGAGGGAGGCGGGGAGAGAGGAAGATGCGGGGGGGGGGGGAGAGGGAACTATCAGTAAGTGAGCCTTGGGCTCCAAGCTTGCTTTTCTGGCTGCTCTAGTTTTCAAGGTCAACCTGATATGTGACCCAAAGGGATGTTCCCTCCAGGGCCCCACTGCCTGCTGGTGAGTGCTTGCTAGAAAGAATGCTTTTGAGGAACACCTCATAGGGTGCCCCTGGGAGAACTAGGTGCAGCAGGTTCTAGGTCAGAAAAACCATGACCATCTGCTAGAAAACCTGTCTCCATGTGTCTTCTAGAAAACACCTCAGCAGCCTGATAAGGTGGACTCCTCACAACTCTGCCCATTTTATGGAGTGGAACTTTGAGGCCTCAGCGGCCTACTTGATGGGGCCCCCAACACAGGGATAGGCCTTTGGGCTGAGATTGTAGGGGCTGTGGTCTGTGTGGTCTTGAGAGGTCATTGAACTTTCCAGACCTTGGTTTTCTTAGCTGTGAAATGGGGTTATCAACCCCCGTACTATCTCTGCGCGAAGTCACAGATGTCAAAAGTCATCCAGAAACCAGAGGGGCTATCTCTAAGTAGCCTATGCAGAAAGACTAAGGTCATGGGGCACCTGGGTGGCTCAGTCGGTTGAGCGGCTGCCTTTGGCTCAGGTCGTGATCCCGGAGTCCTGGGATCGAGCCCCACGTCAGGCTCCCTGCTCAGTGGAGAGCCTGCTTCTCCCTCTCCCTCTGCCTGCCTCTCTGCCTACTTGTGTTCTCTCTCTCTCTGTCAAATAAATAAATAAAATCTTTAAAAAAAAAAAAAGACTAAGGTCATGTGGTCTGGCAATGTCCAGCATGTAACAATCTGGCAGTTAAATCCACCAAATCATTGTGACCCCAAACTTGCCTCAAGACCAGGTGTTGTTCTTTTCAAAGAACAAGGGCCAGCCCCTACCTCCCCTCTCCATTCTCCAGACCTGATTTCCCTGGGGGATGCTGGCATCTCACGAGGTGGCAGGACAGGGCATACTGTCCCCATATTACAGATGCAGAAGCTGAGGCCCAAGAGAGGAGCTGACCCAGGCCCCCCAATCTGTCTGTGGCAGAGCCAGGACTGGTTCTCCTGGGACAGCTTTGTCTGTGTTGCCCCAAATATTTCTTTGCCATGCAGTGAGGGCCTGGGTCAGCCTTCTTTACCATTCTCGAGTCTTACCGTTACGTGCGCCTGTCAGGCTTGAGGTTTTAAGGCTATGATTCAATCTCACTGCGAGGGGGTAAGTGCCCAAGCCCAGGAAAAATGTTTGCATCACCAGCGAGACCAGCCAAATGGCTCCTGGGGTCTGGCAGCCCTGGCCATCCCCTGTGGCCTCAGCCTTATATAGCCATCTGCGGCCTCAGGCTTGCCATGCCTCTGGGGGCAAGACACCAGTCCCTGTGGTGTGGACACCAGACAGCAAGACAAACCCCAAAGGTCATGGCGAGCATCAGGCCCTTTCCATGGGCTGCGTGCTGTGACTCACTGGCTGTGGGCTCCCGGCATTCTTCTGGGATCAGGGCTGCTGCGGGTGGGAGAATTGGTGGCAGGCTTCAGCCACAGCCCTGTGGGACCCCTCCCTGGTGGCTGCCCTCTATAGAAGCAGGACCTTGCCAGGGGAGGAGGCTCCCCGGAGAGAAGGCCACCTGAGGAAGGCAGGTGTGGCCCTGCTGGATGCCGGGCTCCTTGGCTCCCAGCAAGTCCTGGCTCTGTACCTCACACCCTCTCCAACAGGGCCCCATGGGAACTCATCCTGACCTCCGCTTATCCTTGGCTCCATCCTTCAAGGCAATTTCAGCCTCTGAACCTTTTCAAACGCATGCTCCTATCAGAAAAAAAGGTAACATGTACCTCCAATGTGTATAAATTTATATGTAAATTATACTGCTGTGAAACTGTTAGTCTGTATCTTAAATATCAGTAATGTTTTTTTTCCAGATAAAATATAAACTTAAATAGAATTGAATCATTTTATTTCTGTGCCCCAAGTATACTGTCCTACCCATGCCCGGTGGAGTGCACATCCCACCCCGGACACCATCCCTTTGAGATCCAGCAAAATTCCCACCTACTCCAGGAAGTCCTCCCTGATTACCCCATGCTTTCCCACATGAACTAGCATGTAATCTCTCCTGCCTGCTGTGGCCAGTAGTTTATCATAATTCCTTGAAGGCTGAGATGTCCTCATCTGGCCTTGCTGCCAGGACTAGCATTGGGTGGTCTGGAAGGCCCTCGGTAAAGAGGTACCTATCAGCTTCTCTGACCTTATGGTTGATGGTCCAGAGCTGCAGCAGTGGCTTCCGGAGCTTTTGGCTTTGCCTCAGACCTAAGAGGAGCCCCAAGTTCAGTGCCCAGAAAAAGGGTTACTGAGAAATGGAGTATTTTCTGTGCAAAGGAGTGATCCAGCTTCCATTTAGAGTCAGTGTTGCTTGCTTCCCTGTGTCCCATGTCTCTCTTCCCACAGTCCTCATTTTTGTTTGGGGATCCAGGGAACCTGGCTCCATTCCCAGTCCTAGGGACTGAGCACATATCTCAGGCGAGGCCAAGTTTATCCCCTGGCTGCAGTGATTAAGTCAGGGTCACCCCCATCAGAGTGAATCTCGGGACTTTTGCTTGGGACTCAGGGACCAAAGTAGTTCCTTTTCTCTGGACGCCATATGTAGATGTAAGCCGTGGAATTGCCGGCAGCCACCTTGTGGCAACGAGAGTTGTGAGCTGATGCATGGACAGAGGGAGGGCTGAGAGAAGCATTAAGAGAAGGAGCTGAAGTCCTGATGATACTGTAAGCCCCCAGATCAAACTCTACCTGAAGCAATAACTACTTTTTACATATAAACCTGTTTGGGTTGAGTTTTCAGGTATTTATAACCATAGACATCTAACTAGAGTGTGCCAAAAAAATCCACATAGTTAAAATTACCCTTAGAAATTCCATATATTACCATGCTGTAAGAGGAACCTGACATCCAAGGCCAAAGAGAGAGGAGCAGATTCCTATCCTTCAGCTCCTGCTCCATCTGGGGCATAGACTTACTTTGCCGCGAGTAGTGGGTGGATTCAGAGACACCACGTATATTATTTCTCTGGTTGTTTAGCTGAATGCATAAAACCGTCCCCTGGTCCAGCCTTGTGGGAACAGAAATTCTTTTGTTCTATGTGCATCACTCTTACAACAGCTCCTTGGACAGGGAGCTCTGCACTCCTGGGGTTTCTGGTTACCTGGTAACTGACCGGGCAGGCCATTGGAGCCGAGAGGAAACTGAGAGGTTCCTTGGGTCAGCCTCACGACATGACAGTGAGTCATCAGAAGCCAGAGCAGGGAATTCCAATGTCTGAGGTCTCAGAGCACACGGTGCATGGCATCCTGATTCCCAGGGCAATGGTCCCCCAAAGCTGGGAGGGTGGAAAGCATGGGGGCAGGGGCTGGGGCTCTAGGCTCAGCTCAGCCTTTTACCGGCTGAGTCTGGGGAGGTGGGTGTGAACAGCTTAGCTCCCCAGCAAATGGGGTCAGCAGAAGCCATGGACACAAAAAGGCCATCAGAGTCTTGGGGAAGGAAAAAGGAAACTTCCAACTGATGGGCCTACCCTCCGAGGAGGCCCTGAGCCCAGAGGTCAGCACAAACTGCTGAGGAAAGGCAGAATGTGGGGTTTCATCTGCTCCCCAGGCAGCCTCTTTGCCCCTCT